TTGTTGTTGTTATTGGTTTGGGGGACGTTTATAAAGAATATACAAATGAGGCGTAAAAGACTTTTGGTGGCCCACCCTTCCGTCTACCCCATTCTCATTACTGGTTTGTTATGTAGCTGGACTTTAGAGGCCTGTCAACTAGGGTCAGTTCCAACTGCCTCATTTTGCAACCACATGGACCTGGGCGAATTTCCTGCCTTCCCTAAGCATCTCTTTAAACATGGTTATTAAAGCTTCTAAGATTGTTGTAAGGATTAAAAGAGGTCATATGATTAATCTCTCTCTAGAGTCCCTGGCATGTTATACAATATCTGGCAAATATTAGCTAATTTCAAAATTTAATATCAATAATTATCATTAATAATGTTATTAGTGGTATATGGCTAAGGGAATGTTTATGTATTTATTATCTGAGAAGGAGGATATCGGCTTCTCTTTGATGTTCTGTGCTTCCTAATCTTGTTGAAATTGAGATCAGACACAAATGCTAGATTCCTCTGATTTCATCACTGAATCATAGGAGGTCATTAAATCTTCCCTAAAAAGATTTTTAATTTTAGTATTCAAAACCAGGGCGGCGGGGGGGGGGGGGAAGTACCAGAAACCAACTCTTACTTATTTCCCACATATAGATGCAAACAGAAGTAAAACACAGCTGCTCTTATCTCTCCATTGGCACCATCTCTTCCTGGTACTGAAAGAGATAAAGATCTTGCAGTATAATTTTATAAGGCAGTAACAAATGATTTACTTTATCTTAAGGGTAAACAATGAAGTCCTTATCCCACTGCAGGGTAACATAGGCTGGCAATCTGGCAGCTGCTCAGCCCCCAGTATGGATTATTTGAGATGAAAGAAAACATTGACTAATCCGTGAAGATTTGACAATATAGGAGTGTACCTGTCAGTATAGCTTGATATTCAAGGATACCAGCAACACAGATGTTGGATGAAGTGAAGGCAGTGGTGGACAAACCACCCGATTTGTTTTCCACTATTAGGTGGTGCAGTCTTTGGGATCACATGATCAAATCTGCAGACCCCCTGGACCCACTGTGGTTCTATGTGATCTTATACCATGAATCATAAAAGTTCAGAAAGATGTCAGGATATGTTGTTTCCATCATTGTAATCATGGTGGGGTTAGTGTGATCCTTTCCAAGGTACGATTTTTTATTAAAGTAGAAGCCATCTCTTGTTGTCACAGAACATACACTTCACAGAAAAGATTAATTTTAATTTATAGACATTCAACCATAAAATAAAATCAATAATTATAAACCTGCATAGCCAAGTTCATAAGATTTTAGAGCCAGTCTTCTTTAAAAACTGGACCATGGTATGAACTGAGTGACTTTGGACAAATTACTTAACTAAATCTCTAGAGTAGAATCTGTTATGAGCATTAAAAAACATAATTGTGCAAAAATTATGTTTAGCACATAATAAATACTTGAAGATAAACGTTAAAAGGCTGTTATCAAGGCTTTTATCCTGTTTCTTTTTTCACTCATCTACAAGTTAATATGTTTCTTTTCTCTCTTTTTAAAATTGGTTCTTTTTAGTTATGCATGATAGTAGAATTAATTTTGATAAAATTATAAAAGCATGGAATATGTCTTAGTCTAATTAGACCCATTCTTGTGGATGTACACGATGGTGGGATTCACTTAGGTATTTTCATGCACGTACCTAGGAAAATTATGTTAGAGTCATTCCACCATCTTTCCTCTATTGGAAATAAGATATTTATATTGACTTGATCCAATGACTCTATACTATTTGTCTCAATTATCTTGTAATGTATAGATTACTCTATGTGTACTTTAAAACTAACACGCATTTTAAAATTCTTTTATTAAAAAATATGTGTCAAGGATCTCATGAAAATAGAAAGAGACCAATAGAGTAAAGGGAGGGAAAAAGGAGGGGCATGGGGAAGTACTGGAGACAAAATCTAACAAATTACACGATGTCCATGTACAAAAGTCCCACAATGAATACTGCTATTATGTATAATTATAATGTACTAATTAAAATAACAATAATAAAAATAGAAGGGGGATTAGGAGAATATAGCAGAATATAGCAAGAGGATTGGAGGAGGGAGGAGCCGAGGGAAAGGGAAGTTACCAAGGAATAAGACAGATCCAATTATATTATATATGTATACAAGTATGGCATAATGAGTCCCACAGTTATGTAAAACTGTAATGCACCAATAAAATTAAAAATTAAAAAATGCAAAAGAATTACATATGCAAAATAATATAAATTTATCAACATGCATTTTTAATGTTAGAACTTTGCCTAAAAAGAAGGTCATTTGCAATAACCTTGTTTTTCTCTGCTATGCTGAGAAAGTTGGCAAAGTTAAGCATAAGTCTGTTTAATCGATAAAAAAAATTCTAAAGTCTATAAAAATTAACAAGTGACAATGATATGATGTAATATCTGACCTGTTTTTCCTTGTCTCATTTCCTCTAAACTTTTAATTACCTTGTATTTTAGATAAAGCAAAATCCAGCTAATGCTTGGCATCTAATAAGTGTTTCTTTGTTGAATTAAGAGAAAAGGAAATAAATAAATATTTTAATTGTGTTCAGAGGCAACAGTTCCTAAATGGAGGCTAACCAGACCTTAATTAAAGTATTCAGGTTAGAAAACGTTCTGCCACCTACTCTTCTTATTCAAGTGCAAAACTACTTGGATTAATTTCTTGGGATAGGACAAGGGTTAAGTTCATTAAACTATGGGAGGCTGAACAATTTTATGGCACCTGTTATGTACAGTTTTGGTTTTATTATAAAAGGGACTCTAGAGATGAAATGGTTCAATCTCCTTAATTTACAGATAAGGAAACCAAGACCTTAAGAATTGAAATGGCTTTGTCCTATGGAGACTGAGCTGCAGGGGGAATTTTCAGTTTTTTTCATTAGTCATATCTTCCCCTCTCATCCTCTCTCTGTACTAGGGAGTGAACCCAGGGGATTAAGTAAAAATAAATAAAAAAGGAGGGCTGAGTTCAGCCATTTTTATTTATTTTTAATTTTGAGAAGGGCATCTCACTAAGTTGTTGAGATTGGCTTTGAATTTACAATCCTCCTGCCTCAGCCTCCCAAGCTGCTGGGATTATGCCAGTCATCTCTTAAAAGGATTTGCCCCAGGATGCTTGTTTATATGAACATTTCCCTCTATTCCAAGACACTTACATATTTCCAAAAAATAGCAAGATAAAGACTATGGTTGAGAACCTTGACTTTTGGGTCATAGAAACCTGGATTGAAATACTTGCTTCACCACAAAGCATTGGTCAAATTATCTAATCTCTTCTCAGTTTCCTCATCTACAAAGAGAGGATGACAAACTCTTGTCATCTTCAAAAGAGAAATAGCAAGATTTTGACGGTTTATTATTAATGATTAAGATAATAGCTTATAAAGGATTACCACCGGCTGGGCGCATGCTAAGCCATTAGTACCCATTAACTATTATTGTAATATAAATTAGAAGTGGGAGAGAAAGTTGAATGGAAGAGATATAGGCAAGGATAATCTTATATTTTGCTAAAAGCAAATGAGTTTTGAGTTTATGAGTTTGGCTTCAGGTTTCCCTGTAGCCAACATTGAAAAATAGAAATGATTAATTAGGAAGTTAGATATATTAATTTATACATATAAATTAATATATGTGTATGTGTGTGTATCCAAACCAGAATGGCCCTCATTCACCCCTATCTTTGAATTTCCAAACAAGGTTTCTTTGTACCAGACACAACAGTATGTAGGTTTTAGAAACTAGTTGAATTATAGTAAGGGTTGCCTGAGACTCTCCATTGCATTCCTACATGGGCACCCAGCTTCTCGAGAGCTCTTACAGGAGAGAACCCTGCTAAGGATCTTCTCCTTGGTACCTTCCAACCTCTGAAAGACCTTGGATATGAGCAATGGTGAACTGGGGGTTATTCAGTTATTTCCCCCACCCACATCAGATACTTGTAAGGTAGTGGCCTTATTCCCCTTTATATTTTCACTCCTTGAGTCTCGCATATGGTGGATGCTTAGTTAATGTTTGTGAATTGCAATAATTAATGAACATGTGCAAAAGAATTACCTGTATGAGAACCCTTCCATTTAGACCCTGGTTGTGACAGAGAGATTATTTCTATATTGAGTATTATAAAATTTTCAACCAATTCTGATGACAGTGCCAAAGGCTTAAATCACAGTATTTTAGATGAAAAATAAAATCTATATGAACTCTTCTTCCCTGGGTACTGATGTGCAGCGACTTGTGTTATTAAATGTCAGGATGAAATAGAACCAGTTTTCTTTAAAAAAAGGAGAGAAGTGTAATTCTAGCACTTTAGGTATCTTTAGGAGCAGGGATATTAATCAATTTCCTTTCAAGACACGTACATCATTTTACCTCATACAAAGTCATGACCAAAACCTCATATCTCAAAGATGTAGTGTACTCTGATTGGAATATCACCAACAGAGAAAATATACAAAGATTATGTTATCACAAAAACATTTCTATATCTGCATATTTAGATATGTGAAATACCCTAAATTTTCTTTAGGAAATGTTGAAAGGTACTTATCTTACAAGATTGTTTTTTCTTTTCATGTATTTATTATATAGCTAAGAAGCAATTTATTTTCTCAAAATAAGCATTCCCAGATTGATTTCCTTTACATCTCTCTTCATTTATCGAAGTTCATAAAATTATATGAGAGAAATGTTGGCACTTATTCAATGTGGTGTTTCTTTTTCTTTTTTGTTTGCAATTAGGTATTTCTCTCCATTTTAACTTACAAGCTAGGAATCCTTTAAATGTTAAGCAGGAAGGTAATTGAAAGGTCATTTGGCATTAACTGGGGTTCACACTGGGACCTGACTTGCTTCCTGGTGCTGCATGTAAGCCAGGATTCAAATTGTGGGACAGGGTTTTCCTGGACCAAAAGGTAATTATGTAACCCTTTTTCCTTTCTCAGCCCCATTGCTTTGACCGTCTGAAGTTAACATGTCCCTGAAAAATGAGCCAAGGGTAAATACCTCTGCACTGCAGAAAATCGCTGCCGACATGAGCAATTTGATAGAAAATCTGGACACGAGGGAACTCCACTTCGAGGGAGAGGAGGTGGAATACGATGTGTCTCCCATGGATCCCAGGACTCAGGAAGGTAAAGCCTGTGGATCTGAGGGAGAAGGGATCCCGTCAGGGTTGGTTGGCAGAGCACAGTTGAAATAACCAGCGAATGATCCGTCTTCCTTGCAGAGATCAGAACACAGGGCTGAGAATCATCCCCTAAGAGGCTTGCTTATTTTAGCGATTAATTCTCAAAAGGAGGCCAAAATCATGCTACTGTCACCTGTTGGAATAACTTTGTTTACTTTTTATTTTTTTAGGATATATCCCTTTCTCTGCTATCTATAACACTCAAGGCTTTAAGGAGCCTAATATACAGACGTATCTCTCCGGCTGTCCAATAAAAGCACAAGTTCTGGAGGTGGAGCGCTTCACGTCTACGACAAGGGTCAGAGCACTTTTGAAGTTGCCTTTTTTTTTTTTAGTTTTTTGGTGCTAATTTTTATTTCATTTTATTTTTATTTAATTAATTAATTTGTTTTAATTTGCTATACAAGACAGTGATTCATAGTACACAAATGGAGCACAATTTTTCATTTCTCTGGTTGTACATAAAGTAGAATCACACGTACCTAGGGTAATGATGTCCATCTTATTCCACTATCTTGCCTACCCTCATGCCCCCTCCCTCCCCTTTCCACTATCCAAAGTTCCTCTATTCTTCTGAGGCTCCACACGAGCCGCCCTCCAACCCCCGCGAGAACTTGCCTTTTTGTTAATACATGTGGATTACTACGTTGACTTCCATTTTCCTTCCTCCCAGCTATGACCCTATTCTTTAGGTTTTTGTTTGTCTTTTTGTTTGGACTGTTTCCAAATTCTCATATCCTGAGATTTTGCTTCCTTCTTATTTCATCTTTATTTGCATACTCCTTTCTCCCCTTTCTGGACAATAGTCTTTGTGGCATTGAAGGCAATTTATTAATTTAAATTGCAAGATGCCTCTCTGAGCCTTCCTCTTTCCCTAGTTTTCTGTTTCATTTTAGACTTTTCAAGCATATCCATCATAACTAGAATACTAAGTACAAGTCAGGGAAAAGTTTAGTTTTCCTAATGCTTGTTTAGCAAGATACTGCTTTTTCTACTTGGCTTTAAAAAAAAAAATACTGCCAGGTGCTGTGGCACATACCTGCAATCCCAGCAACTTGATAGGCTGAGATAAGAGGATCGCTTCAAAGCCAGCCTCAGCAACTTAGTGAGACCCTGTCTCAAAAATAAAAAATAAAAGGTGGGGATGTGACTCAGTAGTTAAGCACCCCTGAGTTTAATCCCCAGTACAAAAACAAAACAGAACAACAAAAAACATGATTCAAGATTAGCCAGTGCTGTTACCAAAAAGCAATGCCAATGGAATTCTACCCATAGACTCTGCCTCTGTTTTTTTTCCTGTAGTCCTCATTCACATGTTTTCACTAAACAGTGACAAAGCTCTAGAGTAAAATGCCTTCACCAGGCCAACCTAAACCTGTACTCAGGCTCCCGTGCTCATCCCCAGTTTACACCCACCTGGTGTAGCACCTGAGGCTTTTCTTATGCTTTAGGTTCACGTCTCCCTGATAAACTGTTGAGCATCTCTATGATGACCTTTGCCTCTTATGTTAATTGCCTGCTTTTAGGTTGAGAGACAATAACGTGTAAGAGGTAAATGTACAGACTCTAGAGCCAGACTGCAGGGTTAGTTACTGTTCTTGCTTTGTTATCTCAAAACAAGTTACTTAACATCTCTCAATTTCCTCATCTGCATAATGGGTACCATAGTGTTAGTAGGTTATAATAAAAATACATAGTATTATATTATCCAAATATATATTGTATACTTAGTACTACAGCAACTGCTTCTACCCACCCTTCCTGAACACTGGTAGTGCCTCAGGGCAGTGGGGAATGGCATAGGTGAAGGAAGACATTGCAGTGTGTTTCAGAAGGAGCAGGGAAGAAGACATGCTATGCCTTTTTTTTTTTTTAAGGACAAATTTGTCTAAGGTGGTGCTCCTGGCATCCACCACCTCCTGCTTTCCTCTCACCTTTACCAGTTACCTGTTCATTGCTTGTACTTGTGGCCTGGACTCCTTCCCCCCCCCCCTGTTTTGTGCGCATGCGTGCGCATATTCTCTGTGTGTGTGTGTATATGAGTAAGGATTTGTAGGAGTATGGTGTAATCCAAAGTGTGTCTGTGTAATTTATCATGTGGATCATTAAGAGAATATTATTTCTGTGATCAGTTGTTTTCGAAAAATATTTGCTTAAAGTACTTATGCAAAGTATGTAGGCTGAACTTAAGTATACTTCCATGTTACTAATTAATTAGCTATTTTTCATTGAGAGCTTTTGGAGTTTTTATTATCTAAAATACCAACCATTTTTGTTTATCACTGTAGGTGCCAAGTATCAATCTATACACTATTGAATTAACACATGGGGAATTTAAATGGCAAGTTAAGAGGAAATTCAAGCACTTTCAAGAATTTCACAGAGAGCTGCTGAAGTATAAAGCCTTTATCCGAATTCCCATTCCTACCAGAAGGTAACCATCTCAGAATTCAGATGAAGTTATCCCAACACACAAATTGGATAGGAGTGTATTTCATTTGTTTTCTATGTCATCTAGTCCCTTGTTGGTAGATACTTTCAGTTAAATAAGCTCTTTTAAAAATAAGACATTTCATGAAATATGAGAGTTCAAAGAATTCTCTAATAAATGTTTGCATTATGTGTGTGTTTTAGACACACGTTTAGAAGACAGAACGTCAGAGGGGAGGAGCCTCGAGAGATGCCGAGTTTGCCCCGTTCATCTGGAAACATGATTCGAGAAGAACAGTTCTTTGGTAGGAGGGTAAGTGCTTTCACCCTTTTGTTGATTTTATTGGGCTTTTTATTTTTTAATTTGTTCTTTTTAGATATACATGAGAGTAGAGTGTATCTTGACATATTATACATACATGGTCTTCTGTTGTTTTGAACATAGTTTTGCAGCATCGTAGAAAGGTGGCACTTAATGAGAGGTGAAGGGGTCCAGCTGCAGTTTCTTTTACCTGCTGGCCTCTAGCCCTAGCAAGGTTGAGCTTCTCTGGAACCAGTTAGGCATCCCCATCCTCCCAAGCCATCCAGAATGTGTATTAGCACTGAAGAGTGTTGGTAGCTATGCTGTGAAGAGGTGTCCTCCTCCTAGTATCTCCCTAAACTTGTTGTGAATTGAAGATTGAGCGTATCATGTTGGATTTTGAGATCTACTCTCTTAAAATCATTTATTTCCATACATTTGCTCCTATATGTTAGTTTATTTTAAATATTAAATATGGAAAGTTGCATTGCTCTGCTCTAGGTGGGGCAGTTAGCGTTTAGGAGAGTAGGCTGAGCACAGACTCGCATGCTAGAATGGGAAACTCAAGACAAGAGACATGTTTGCCACCCTGCTACGGTTGGTACTGCAAGGGGGGGGGGGACTTGTATTTTTTATTAGGATGTTAATCGGTAATTTGTTCATTTCTGTGCATTCTGTTTTATAATCTGAAAATTTTTATGCTTCAGAGGGAATATTTTATTTTTTCTTTTGTAGTTATCTTGTTTAAAATCTTTTTAGGGGTCTGGACTAAATATTTTCCAAGATAACCTAGACATATAAAATTACCCAATTTCTGGTTATTGTGTGCACATGTATGAACCCAACTAAAAGTGATTATACCTATTAACCCTCAGTGATTCAGCAAAAAGGTGCTGGCTTATGTGTCAAGGTCAATATACTTGATATATGTTACTCCAATTCGCCAAGTCTATAAACCTCCGCTTGCCCCGTACACACACATTTTAACATATTTGAAAAATCAATGTTAGAAAGTCTTTCTTTTAACATTTTCCTTCCTTTTTACTTGAAAAATATTTAAAAATTATGATGAATCTACCGGTAAATTAAATGCTGGGATTGAAAATACACAGGTGTTTTGGTAAAATCAACAAATGACTTGAAATTACCTACCATGAACAAATCCTGTTCTAATAGCTATTAAAAACATATACAGCTCAGGTCTTGTTAGCAATTTATAAAAGACCTATGCATGTGGAATATTAAATAGCAAGAAGAGATTTAAATAATAATTGAAGAAAAACGATAGAAATAATACCTTAATGCTATTCAGGGTTCCTTGCCCAGTGATAATATTAGCAAATATTTAAATAACTTACAGAGGTTAAGATGAAATGATGATTTTGTCATTATCACTATTTAAATTTTTCTATGGCTATATTAATTCTTATCTAAAATATTTGCATTACAGAAACAACTAGAGGATTACCTGACAAAGATACTAAAAATGCCCATGTATAGAAATTATCATGCCACAGTAAGTACTCTTCAGTGATTTAAATTTTGAAGTAATTTCTAAAAGAGTAAATTGTGAGCTGAATTTTGGGTGACTTTTTTAACATAGTGCTTGCATCCATATTTACATTTTTCCTTGAATTAAAGCAAATTAATGAATACAAAATACAGCCAGGAGTCAGTTTATGGTGATAATGAAGCTATATTTAAAATATTGAATAGAACTTAATATGTCTCTAACAACAGACTTAAGTGAGCCTGAGTGCTACTGCAGACTGGATTATCTAGAAATCAACCCTGTTCTCCCCTCAGGCTTCTTCTGCCAAAAGTCCTTTTGAGTTCCAGAGAAAAAACTTTAAGCAGTAAGTGATGAAAACAGCTAAGCAGAGTTGAATACCCAAGACTTTCTGGAGCATATTTGGATGGCCATCTGATTGGCCTGTCTTTTCAAGTGAAAGTGAGAAGCTTGAGAAAGCCAGGCTCTTCTTAAGGAAGAGCTCTCAAGAAAAGAGAAGAGGGTGGTGGGGATCGGAGGCATCCCAGAGATTGATCTTGGGAGTCAGGCAGCTGGCAAGCAGGAAGAAGCAGGTTTACAGTGCCGGCATACAACCAGCTCTGCCATCTTAGGGGGCCTTGAGGATAGAGCAATTTTAAAAGATTAGTTTTCAGTTATCCAGAGGTCTGGATAACTGAGAATGTCTGGGTGTAGACTGTATTGCTGTAGGGTCAATGCATGGTGCAGAACATAAAGAGTAGTGCACTTGTGACTTGGCCTCTAGTTTAGTGAATACCATCGCATAAATCCGTAAATGAAAGAGGGTATATTTAGGAGAGGAATAGAGAGCGCTTGGCTCTGCTGAGTTTCTCAGGGGTGGGAGGTGCCCTTTTGCTCCTGCCTGCATATTCCTGGGAAGCTGGTCCAAAGATGCGCAAGCACACCTGCTTCCCTTACACATAGCTGGCCCAGAGCCAGCCTGCTGCTCATCTCCTGCAGCAGCTCATGCAGGGATATTTGATGGACTTGAGGGAACTTCTATGTCTTCCTGGAGAAGCATTTTCTCAAGAAAGTCAGCAGTTTTGGGTTCCATCAGAGGATCTCCAGAGCAGGGTGATAGAAGGGGTCAGGTTCTTTCTAGGATTTAGAATCATGTAAGGTTGAAATAACATCACAGGTAAGGGTACTCTGCTACTGAAAACATTGCCCTCTGTTGCAGTCTGTGAAATCAGATGTGCTGTTTTCTTTAATGCAGTGTTCATTTAAATTACTTTTTCATTCATAAAAATTTTTTCAAAGTTAGTCTATATTGTGTTTAGAAATCCCAGGGTACCTTATAAATATTTCCTTTGGAGAAGAAAATCTAGTTAGTAACTTGCTAAATATATTATCCCCATCAGAAGTGAGGGTATCTCATCTTACTAAGATTATTCCCCCCAATAGCTGAATTCTCCAAAATGATTCAAGCATTAGATACAATTTGATATACATTAATTCTCTAACCTTATTTCCCTTTCATATTAAATTTAATATGGTCTAAAGACAAGATTCCCAGGTCTCTACATCACATTCATAAAATTAGATTGGTATCTGTGTGTTTCCCTTGGTAATTATGAGAAATTTTAAAAAGCTCATCTGCAAAAAGCATACTACAAGTCATTTTATATATGCACATATAATAAGTTTATACTTATTATACAAAATGAGCCTATTTAAAGTTAATTCAGGTCCTTAAACTAATAGCATCATGGATCAAAATCAAGGAACTAGATAGGATACATCCTCATTAACTCTAGAATGGTCCAGATCTATATTTGGAATCTATGCTTTTGACAAATAATTTGGGTGATTCTTATCTGGAGAGTTTGAGAGCTAGACTAAAATGCTATGGCCAACTTAAAAATGTCTTGGTAAAGTTGAACTACTTTACAAAGTGGAGAAAGATTATTGTGGGATTTGTGTAATAGGATTTACCAGAAAGAACTGTGTTTAGGCTTCAAAGCAGTGACTGTTCAGTTTTCTCAAATGGATTTTGAAATTAGACATGGAGAGTTTTTTTTTCTTTTTCCTTTTATTAAGTCATTGATTGGGTAGGCACTCAGACAACTAACTCTTCCAGGATTATGAAGACTTTCTTTGTTTTTATTTCCTTTTTCCCTCCTTATAGTTGGGACAAACAGGACATCCTAGTGTTCTAGCTGATTCTGCATCACAGTTCCATCAGAGATTATTGGTAATTCAGTCAGTTTCCTGAATGTAAAGTGGGCACACCTGTATTTTACTTTCTTACTTGACATAAATTTGTGAAAGAAGTAGCACTACGTACCTGAGTTGTACAATAACAAGAACTCATGTAAGAATTCCTCTTGTGTTCTGAAACTGAGTCAGTGCCCACTAACTGGGCACTTTAAATAGTTACTGGAAAATGCTTATCTTCCAGGGAATTGAAAGGAAGAGGAATAAGGAACAATAAATTTATTTATTTTTCTTACCTAAGATTAAAATCTATGTGTGGAACAAAATGCACTGTTTTCTAGAGAAGTCCCTAAACTGATAGGATCTTATCTTAATCCTAACTTGAAGTAAATCATTTCACTTCTGTAACTCAGATGCCTTATCTCCAACATGGTGATTAGTTTGAAATCTTGCTTGGAACCTCCCACAGATCAATAGTATTGAGTTCACCTCCCTCCTTCATAGGATGAATAACTTTAACTTGAATGGAAGAATAGGTAGGGAATAAGATGCACACAGGTTATCCATTTCAACAGAGAAGAACTGTACTGAATCAAATGCCTGCATTTTCAGATTAAGGGAGGTGCTTTCTTTCTCCTGATGGAATCTCAGAAGGATGCAGACCTTAGTCCAGCCTTAGCATTCCTACGTTGATGAGATGTCTCCTTAGTACCCTGTACCTCTGTTAACTGTTTTATTTGGAAAACAGCCATCCCTGGAGTACCTGGGCTTCCCCTTCTCCATCACCAGAGGATTGCCTTTCCCAACCCTCTCATCTTCCTGTGTCTGAGAATTTCCCATTTGGCCACACACTTAAATTTTTGGCTACCTGAGGAATGGAAGGGGCCTCTGAAAGTCATCATCCCCTTATCCTTCAAAGATAGATGGAAAGGACAGGGTGATTGCCAGGTTATTTCTAGGGCCTGTATTACCCTTAGGTTTGGTTGCTTGCCTCTTGGCACAAAAATTCCTGCAGCACGTTTCTCTAACCTTTCAAGTATCCAATTGGTAAGTCACATTGGAATTTTCAACCTATTGCCAAGAACATTATTTAATTGAATTTTTCACAACTCCTTCTCCAAAACAAAAACAAAAAGATACCGATTGGTACTTTGCACAGTAAATCCCATGGAATATTGTTAGGTTCAAATGATCTTTAAATTCTTATACCTGAGAATCATATGCCCAAATGGAGAATGGAATTCTTATCACTAAAGATGCCCTGAGGGGTTTGCACAACATAATCTTTGTAAAATTGCACATTTTGTTCATTTGGTTTCCCTAGAAATTGGTGATAACACATTTACTTTCAATTTGAAAAATCTTTATTTGACCATTATTGCCAACAGTTTTTTCTTTTCTCTATAATAGTGCTGATTTCTCTTTGAAATCTCCCTTTAGTCAAACTTTAATAAGCCATTAAGATAAATTAAATTTCATAGTAATGTACAATTAAAATTTTCTACATTATAATGCATATTTTTGTTTAGATGAAATTCCTCACATTTAGCAATTTTGTTATGTTCTAAAGTTATGAATTATTTTCAGAGATTATTTCTGTTGTCAATTATTAAATGATAAGAGCTATGTAAATAAGAATATCTAGAAATTAGACAAGTGGTTTCCTTGATTTTTTCTTTAGTTCTTATTCTTCCATTCAGTTCTAAGTGCATAAGTTAGTTTACACATCTATAGTAGTTTCTTCAAATATAAAATAGGATTGGCATCATCCTAGAGATAAAATGAGAAGTTATGTCTTAGGGTCTTAAAATATTTTGTATTCTATGGTTGACAGTCTGAATGTCATTTCTAATAACCACATAGGTTACTACATTTTCCAATTAGAAAGTATTTTCACAAATCAGATAAAAAATGTATGGTGCTGAATCACTGGGTTTTATATAAGAAATGAAATTTAAAGACTTTGGCTTTTAAAATTCTTATTTAAAAAGTATTATGTGAAGAATAATGTTTAACTTTGTGATTTTTAAAAGTTATTTAAATGCTTTTAATTTGTCTTTACAACTTATGCATAGATTTATTGAATTTTCATTAAACTCTGAACATATTTTTCAGTTGTCATCTAATATCTGTATACTGTGAAAAAAAATCAATAACTAAATCTGATAGGTAAATCCTTTTTAATTTTAAAAATGTACTTTCTTCAAATAACCCAAGAAAAGAAAGAAATACAAACATTTAATTGAATCTCACAAGAATTTACCATTCTAAAATATTTGTAATTTTTTCTTATAATATTAATATTAAGCATTTCCAAACAGATATAAACTATGTATTTCATTTGGTAAATCCCAGTTACAAACCTAGATCAAGTGCCACTTCCTCTGTGATATCACATTAGACAGGTGTGCTCTCCCCTCCCCCTATTCTGTAACTATAACTGCTTTCATGTGAAACCTGCCTGGTTCTTCCCACAGAACTTTGTTCTATGTCTAATCTCCCTTCTCTGTACTTCCTGATTGATGCTGGGAGAATATTTTTTTCTGTGGAACTGTTATTGGCATGGTTTAAGGACCACTGGCAGATCTAGACTTACTGTTGGCTGCTTAAAAAGAACAAATCTGCAAATTGGGAATATCACTATTTCTAACTTTGGTTGTTTCAAGGATTACTGTAAAACCCCTGCACATGTTAAGCATGACATACTATCAATTTGGTTTTCACTCTCTGTTTCTATGTTTGTATGTAGCTCTCACCCAGCTAGAATATGCAAAGTACTTAATTTGAGCAATATAAAGGTTGAATGACATTTTGCTTTTGCAGTTTAGTTTTGAGGATGATGAATTTGGTCTCACTTGGTACCAATTCTATCCTTTGTTAATTATGGATGTTAGACAATTTACCTAAACCAGGGGTTGGCTAACTAGAACCCATGGGCCAAATAGAGCCCACTGCCTGTTTTTCTATGTTCTGTGAGCTAATAATAGAATTTTGTGTTTTAAGTGGTTGAAAAAATTTAAAGAATAAAACTTTGTGACATGTGAAGTTATATTTTATAATTACATAAAAAAGTTTTATTCAACACAGCCACACACGTTTATTTATGTGTGACTTATACCTGCTTTCCTACTACCATGGCAGAGTTGAGCAGTTGCAACAGAGACTTTATGGCCCTCAAAGCCCAAAATATTTACTGTCTGATTCTTTGCAAAAAACCTTAGCTTACCCCTGCTCATTTTCCTCTTCTGTGCAATGGGAAAATAGTAACTACCTTCAGAGGGGTTTGAGGTAACGTGTGAAAACTGCCAAACACAATGCCAACACATAATAAGTCTTCAGTACATGTTAGGTGTGGCTGTTGTTATTACAACATTTATAGGTTTTAATCTATTAATTTCTACAATAAAGATGGTCCTCAAATTCTCTTCCTTTTTGACTCATCAAAAATAATTCTTCCTGTTAGGCCTGATGTTCCCTAACTTCTCTGCAACATGCCATGCCATGATTTCCTCTTACTCTTCTTCACCTCGTTCACTAAGGACAGCTGTGCATCCTGTTTCCTTCCTGCTCCTTCTGTTCTCTTCCCCTTCATCCCTCACTTCCTCCTGTTCCTGCATCTGGCCCCACATCACTGCCTTCACATGTTCTTTTATTATTGGGTGAACCCTATGCCACAGAACCTTCTCCTCCAACAACAAAAATGAACACAGAGCAATATTGGAAGTGAAGTCCCTTTCCTTGGCCTTCTTGAGCATTTGGTCTCCACATCGTCTTTCATGGTTGTGTTTTAGCTATGTGCTTCTAATCAGTGCTTTCTCAGGGCAATACCATCATTATCCATCTCTCTAGTCTTTAGAGTGTACCAAACAGCATTTTCCCATAGCGGTACCCAATAATGTGTTTTTGTAAACAGAAATGAATTTCCTTCCTTCCTTCCTTCCTTCCTTCCTTTCTCCCTTGCCATCCCTCCTTCTTTCTCCTTCCCCCGTTCTTTAACTTTCTAAAGTGTATTTTTTTTTCACTTCTTTCCAGACAGAATTCCTTGACATAAGCCAGCTGTCTTTCATCCGCGATTTGGGACCAAAGGGCCTGTGAGTTCCAGCATTGGATGCTTAGAGAGAAGTGTGAAAAGCTGATGTGCAGTGACATTCATTGTGGCAGCAGTGATGGAGTGCCCCTGGGTTTACCGCCAGCTTGTTTCCCCAGTAGACTAAGACCAACTGAGGGGACCTGCTGTATGAAGCAGAGCATCTCCTTCAGTAGATGATGGTAGCAATGGCTCTACCATCTTCCTAATATGCTGACAGCTCTGCTTCCTCCTAACCCAGCATTGGGAGTGTTCAGTACCCACAGCAAGGGTGGTCTGCGGGAGAAGGCACTCAAACAGACAAAAAAGGTCCTTTTCCAATCACTTACAAAAGTTGACAGTCACTCATGTTGATGGCTATTGAAAAATCATTATTCTCCTTCACAATATTAGCTCTTGGTCATATAAAGTGCTTAAGTTTTAATTCTGGTTAGAAGCCCTGTCAGTCATTGTTTCAAAATTGTTTTTGTTTTTTAGACATTGTTATTGCTCCTCTTGTCACTTTTTTTTTTTGGTATTGAGAATCAAAGCCAGGGCCTTGAGCATGCTAGGCAAGCACTCTACCTCTGAGCTACCTCCCCAGCCCCTCTTGTCACATCTTTCAAAATCAAGATAAGACCAACTTCCAAAACTAGTGGCTTTGTTCTACTTCCTTTGGCGTGGCTCCGTTGTTAGAACTGTGAGTGGAGGGACACAGAAGTGTGCTGGAATCTGGGTGAACACCCTTCCCCATGCCAAGTCTCAGCAGTGGGACCAAGAAGAAATGCTTGGAGTCTTTTTTAGGTTGTCATAGTGACTGGAGGGAACATGTAGCATTGAGAGCCAGGAGCCAGCAAGCCTAATCTTCTGCACTGTGCACAACAGAGCTGCACGGCCCCACGTGCAAAAGAGGTGTATGTGACTGGGGTGCTTTCAAGACTAGCTGCTGGAGTACCCAGCCTTATCAGTGTGACACTTAGCACGCTGAGGGTGAAGGAGGAAAGAGTGGGGAAGAAAATCATGTGAGGAATGAGACTATTTATTTAGTCCCAAGTTGGGAAGCTGAACAAGCCAGGTTTGAAGATGGTGGATTAATTTGATGTCTCTTTCAGAGAAGGTATGATCATGAAGCGATCTGGGGGACACAGAATACCGGGTTTGAATTGCTGTGGTCAGGGAAGAGCCTGCTACCGATGGTCAAAAAGGTAGGACTGATGAGTTTTGTGTGTATGTTTATTTTAAAAAACTGGGTGTTTGGGGAGTATTTATATACTCCTTTATATAAATCCTTTTAAAGTCATGGCAGAACAAATTTTATTATATTTTAAAATTCAAATTCCAGCATCCATTTCAAAAATCCTATTCAAAATTAGACTAATAGGCAGAGTATATAAATTTTATGCCTAAAATCCCAGTGGAGGGGCTGGGAGTGTAGCTCAGTGGTAGAGCATCATGTACCTGGCATGCCTGACGCCCTGGGTTCAATTGCCAGCACCCCAAAACATTTAATTAAAAGGCAAGAAAATCCAGTTAATATAAGACTCCAAAACTGGTCCGCCAAAGAAGAGGTATAAATGGTCAAAATAAGTATCTGAAAAGAAGCTCGGCCATCTCTAGTAATTAGAGAAATGTATATCCAATCCACAATAAAATACAATGCTCTAATGAAAAAAGATGGATCATAACAAATGACGATGAAGATGTAGAGAAATTGGGACCCTTAAACATGGCTGATGGAAATGTGAAACAGTGCAGTACTTTGCAAAGTTCTTCACGTTGTTAAATGTAGAGTTACCGTATGTCTATGTGCATATTCAAAATATCTATAAGTAACATGGGGACCTACCTCCAACCATATTTATTTAAAACAACACCAACAGAAAATATCATTAAGTTGGGCTTTTACTTTCTGAGCTTTGAAAGGATGGAAAAAATGATAAGGATTACAAGGAAAGATTACACTGAATAAAATAGAAACTTTTTTGTTATAAAAAACATTTTTACTAAAATAAAGAGGGAAATAATACACTGGCAAAAGAATTTGCTTTCAAATAAACTCTCCTGGATAAGCTTTCCCAGCCCACTGTGGTCCCATGCAGATTCCTTGTGACCACCTACTGGCAGTGCTGTGCTTTGGTAATCCAGGTGCTATATGGTCAGCGGCTATATGGTTACCATAGTGTTGCATGCGGGCGTGGGCGTTAAGCACTGGTGATTCTTTGCCCCCAAACTCTGGGCTCCAGAACCCTCTTGCCTGTGTGCAGAGTGAACTGTAAGTGCAAGCAGCTCCCTCGATTGCTCCTGACTCCTATCAGTTCTCCACCCTCAGTTGAGATGATTGTCTGCTGCCCTATGCTGTCTTCCAGAGCTGCCAGGCAGGCTCAGAGCCCGATTGCCCATGATAAATTATATGACAACACACCTTGCAGGCTCCCTTCTTGGCTGGTCCTACCCTATTGGTGCTTCCTCGTGCCACCTCCCTCATAAGCTACTCTACACATATCCTTAGAGCTCACTTCTCAGGCAAACCAACTAAGGCAACTACTTAAGGAATAGAAGGCCTTGGTCAGCTCCATGCAGTCACTTATGGAGGGCCTCGTGTATACCAGGTTGTTTTCTAGCTACTGTGGAACCAAGGTGCCGCCCTCATGGGGCTCTGTGTGAGGGAAAAGTAGGCAGTGATGACGTCAATGAGCCAAGTAAGTGATTTAAATTTAGTTGGCCATAGAGATAATGGGATAGTGAGGGTTTTGGGGATTAGAATGGGTGGCTTTAGCTGCTGGAGTCAAGGAAAGGCTCCCGAGGAGTTGAATTTGAGTTATGACCTTTATGAGAAGCAGCAGCCACCAGATAGGGAGAGATTTTGTTATATATAAGAAATGTGGGTGCCCTACCCTCCTTTTTTTAACTTTAGATTAAATCATGTTTCAACCAGGACAATCTAAAAAAGATATGATCCTCTCTGGAATGAAATGTGTCATCATTTTAAATTGTGTAAATCCTTCTGTGAAGATTAAAGCCTTGGTTCTATATTAATATTTCCTGAGCCATATTTGAGGGATTTAAAATATCAGACATCATATATGGATGATAAAGAGTAGCTGACAAAATTAGTTTGAAAAGTTTCTCACAGTAGAAGTCTATTTTATTGGTGTCTAAAGCAGGGGAGTTACTTTTAAAGGTGACATTCATTTTTAACTTTTTAATTATTTTCTTATGTATCCACAGAAAGCATTTGGGATCACTTTTTTTTTGTACTAGATATTCAACTCAGAGGTTCTTAACCACTGAGCCACATCCCAAGCCCCCCCCCCCTTTTTTTAAATATATATTTTATGTAGAGACAGGGTCTCACTGAGTTGCTTAGAGACTCCTAAATTGCTGAGGCTGGCTTTGAACTCATGATCCTCCTGCCTCAGCCTCCCAAGCCATTGGGATTACAGGTGTGTACCACAGTGCCTGGCTGGATCACTTTCTTAATTATTCTATAGCAACAAACCAAAATAAAGCAAACAAGGCAGTTAAACTTTCAATCAGATCTCAAAATGACCATATCTCAGGGACAAGAAAAAAAAAAAACAAGAGCAACAGAGAAAGCATTTTTTTTCCTCCACAGTATGAAACATCTTATCATAGAGCTCATTTATTGAGCAAATTCTCTGTACCTTATAGTAGATTCCATATTAAATTTCTCATCTCAAATTATGTCTCAAGAGATGTATAGATGTTAAAAAATGAATTTAACATTTACACTGGTAGACTGTAAACTATACCAAGAATTAATATTTTAGACAGTGACAATATTTAAATGGTCTTATTCATTCTCTGGGAAATGTTCACGCAACCACTATTTAGTTAGGATGGTTGCCTTGCCTGAAGACTTCTTGATGCACATTCTTCTATTAAAGAAAAAAAATCTATTGACAAGAAAGAAAGGAAAAAGGAAGAAAGGAAGGAAGGAAGGAAGAGAAATCAGAGGAGTTTCAATGAAGAACATAATTAAGAACTTTAAATAAAAGCAATTTACCCCATCTGATGACCGTCGAGAATAACTCATCATTGTCAAAACAGAAACCACTGGCATTCAGTTTTCAAAATCCAGCTGTCAGTGCTCCACAGTTCCATATCTCCAGGCTACCTCAACTTGGAGGAGCAGGGGAGGCACTGCTTATACAGGATGCCACTCACCCACTGGAGTTGAGCAGGGCCCTAGCAAAACACAGCCATCTCATTTCTGTTGTTAAACAGGGCTGTGTCTGTGCAGGGTCTCTGTGAATTAGAAAAAACTGCCCCATTCCTGCAGGAAGACACAGCCTGCACCTGCACCTCTAAGCAGGGCACACCCACACAGTGGCACCTGGTGACCTGTCCCTGCAGGTGTGTTTTGTAGCCCTTGAAGGGTGGTTATGCCACAAGCTTGTACCCTTGAGAGACTTTCTCAGATTTGTTTTTGACTGTTAATGGCTGGAGCTTGTGGCATCTGGATGTGGACCACCCCACTGTCATGCCACACTGCTGTCCCTGGTGTGGAGTTCTGGCTGGAGTTGGCTCGGATGTCAATTAGATACCCTTGACTTTCAGGCAGGCAAAGACACAAGTCTGGGACATTTGATGTTCTCAGATCATCAGCTGTGGTTTCCAAAGCCTGTGACTCCTTCCTGATCAGCCACATAGCATGCCAGTGCCAGACAGCTGGGCCTGTGTCACGTGTCTGCACTCTAGCTTGCATCACAAGCCAAACACAAGGAGGAGCTTTCACAAATATGCACGCTCTCTCTACTCTCTTAGCCTTAACCAGATTTTATCAGCAGGCAGCTACGCGTCTGATCTCAGTCCTTTCATAATCCCTGAGTCACCTTCGATATCAGGGCCTTGGCGTTTACATTTCTTCTAAAATGTATAAGGGCTGCACTTGCTGAAAATCGTTCTGGAGAATATGACCCTTAAATTGTTTGGTTGTCTTATGTTAGGTTCCCTCAGTGAGAAACACTCAAAGTTTGGGTGAGACTCCTTTATTTTTTCAGTTTATTCATTCAACAGGAAAAACCAGGAAGCTCAGATCCACTTTCGTGTGCCACCTCTCTGCTATATGAGCCGACCTCCCTCGATGTGGCCTTTGCCTGCTTTCCCCACTCTTTCCTTACACGTGGCTGCCTCTTCCCTCTGCATGGGGGCGGGGGTGCACCTGGACCCTCTTTGGGATGTTACTGTTGGGACCCTTCCAGGCCTCACGCAGACACCAGCTCTTCACAGCCAGGCAGAAGACTCCTCCTCTTTGAACTCATCCCTTTTGCTTCTCCCTTCTAGTCCCTGTCCTACTTGGCTTAGAATGATCACAGTTTGTAGCCCCCACGAGCCTAGTAAGGTCCTCGGAGAACACTCGTCCATGTCTTGATTTATCTTGGTGCTGTTTCCCCATCTACCCTCATTCTCAGCTTACACCTTACTTTTCCATTGTGAAGCTGTTCAATATATATTGAATTGAATGGAAATACTTTTGAGAAATGCCCCTGTCCCATGGAGTAGTAAATTTAATAAAATTTACTACAAAGCTAATTCACCAATTAACAAATAAGAGTGATAGCTTACACTTAAAAAAAAGTTTTACTTTATGCATCAGTAGAGTCTCATCTACAGTTTTTAGAGTACCTAAAAAACTACATTTTTATCTACAGTTTTTAGAGTATCTTATACTTAAGACTCGTCATAATAATTTATGCTTTTTGTTTCAGTCATTCGACACAATTTTGAAGTTCTTGTTCCCTTCATACAGGTGGTTAATAGTGAAAGACTCCTTCCTGCTGTATATGAAGCCAGACAGCGGAGCTATTGCCTTCGTCCTGCTGGTAGATAAAGAATTCAGAATCAAGGTGGGGAAGAAAGAGACGGAAACAAAATATGGACTTCGAATTGATAATCTTTCAAGGTAGAAAGTTCAAAAATTTAAAAAAAAATTTTAAAAACACTCAGAAGCCAAATTTTTCTCTCAAAAAAATGTAAAAAACAAAAATTTTATAAAATGTGTTATTTAGAACTCATCCTCAATGTGAAGTAAATGAAATGATTTTTTTCTTCATATGAACTTTATTAAATTTTTTATTTGTTCTAATTAGTTATACATGATAGTAGAATGTATTTTGACATATTATACATAAATGGAGTATATTTTCTCATTCTTCTGGTTATATATATAATGTAGAATCACAATGGTGTGTAATCACATATGCACATAGGATAGTAACATCCGATTCATTCTACTGTCTTTCCTATTCCCATCCCCCCTTCCTTCCCTTCATCTAATCTGAGTATTTCTACTCTTCCCTCCCCTCCCCTTATCATTCATGTAAGAGTCAGACTAAGTGATGCTAGGGGTAGATATATGCCTATTTTAACAAAATTTACTTCTAAGCTAATTCACCAATTACCAAATAAGAGTGATAGCTTACACTTAAAAAAAAAAGTTTTACTGTATGAATCACTATAGTTAGTAAAACATGTAAAAAGGGATTTCATTCATAGAAATTCTGTTTACAGTTTTTAAGAAAAGATAACTTGAAAAAAATACTTCTGTTATGTACTTATTATAGATTGTTATTAGTGAGTACATGTGTGCAGATATGTGTGTTTCTTTCTGGAAGATCGTAATTATACCCTGTATGTGTGATTGACACGCAGATATACGTATGTATGTGCATATACATGATTATTTGTACATATGCACACACATATACCCACCTGCGTCTGTATAGTTCACCCTCATGAATATCAATATATATACATTTCTTTCTCTCTTTGTACAAGTACCAATAGATATGTGCACAAATGTACATTTGTGCGTGTGTGTGTGTGTGTGTATATATATATATATATATATATAAAGACTCTGCACTTCCTGTTAGTCTCTCAGAAGGGAATGTTCAGGATTGTTGAAAATGCTGTGGTGCTGCCATTCACCCTTCCTCCTGGCACTGTGTTCCTCTTTTCCATGACTTTCCAGAAGTCAGGCTACAGTTTTGATTGGTCACTGCAACAGCTACTTTATTAGCTTCCTCATCTTCATTTCCCACCCTGACTTCCTCAGGCACCAATGTCAAAGGAATTCATTCAAATCCAGATTTCCTTGGCCTCCTGCCTGGTGTCTGTGCTCCTCGTCATTTTGTCAAATACCCCCAGGTTCTTCCACTTAGGATCTCAGGCCCTTGATCTCTCTGCCTGTATTGTCAACCCCTCCTGGGGACAGCCTTCATGGTTCTGTGGAGGCAGTTCCCTTGGCGACCCTTCCCACATTCTGCTTTCTCACCTCCTAATGCTTGCTGTCTTCCTTCCTCCCCTTGACCCCCCCAGCTCTGATCCATATCCTATGACAAGGCCTCTGCCCGTCACTTACCTCTCCCACAGCATCTTTTCCCTTAGTAGGTTTTCAGAGGCATTTCAGCTCCATGCACTAGTAGAGTGATAGGCCAAGCCCAGGCATCTTCCCTGCCCCACTGCCCTGCCCCCAGCAGCTCACTGTGGCTCCTTTGCCACTCCTGATGGAGTTGTTTCCCTCCTCCCAGCTCCATCACGTCTCGCCTCCCCTGTCTGCACCCCCAGCAGTATCAGCCACTCTGAAGGCCAGTGGCTTTCAAAGGCAGCATCCATCTCTGACAAATGGAGGGGAGGAGTTTATACATCCCTAATCTTTTGAATAATTATTTTAGAGCCCATAAACAACACCTTCCTTGCTTCTCATGACCCCCCCCCCAAAAAAAAAAAATCCAAAGAGCTAACTTACGCTCCTCACTCACAGTCCTCTTCTGGTATCAGTGTGTTGCTGGATTCCTGCTTCAATGACAGAGAAACATCTTGTTTGTCTTTGAACTTCAAATTTGGATAACTTAACGGTCCCCAGTTCTAACAATTGACATTGAAAAAACCTTTCTGCAACCTAATCTGAATTTGTTTTCAGCAGTTATAAATCTGTAACCACTTAGAAGAGTTCAGTCATTGTGACAGAAAAATCCAGTGCAAAGTGGCTTATACCAGAGAGAAGTCATCAGCCACCTTAGGCGGGGCTGATTCTGAAACTCAGACTGTGTCATTGACACATTTTCCCTTCTTTTCTCCACTCTCTCATCTGTGGGTCTGCTGCATTCTCAGACTGGTCTCCTCATGGTGGCGAGATAGCTGCCTCCCAGGCTCACATCAAATCCAAAGAGAAAGGGTGTCTTCCTGGCATTACTGAGCAAGTCCTCAGGTTTCCTCTTACTGGGTGGAATTGACTAATGCTTTCATGCCCAAACCCGTTTCAGGGATCAGGAAGTGAAATATGCCATTTTTCTCAGCTTTGGACTTAACGAAGAGAAGGAATGACTCTCCTCAAGTGCAATTGGGATGGTATTTCCAGAACCTTAGGAAGTGGACACTGGGCAGTAACAAAGGGAAATGCCCTCTAGAGGGACCAACAGAGTTCTCTAACTGACACTTAGATGTAGAAACTCACTTGGCACTTCTTTCATGACCCTCTTCATAGCCTAGCACAATTATGGATCTATTGTAAGTAGAATTTTGCAAAATACATGTTTGCAAGAGTGAATAAGTGAATAAGTACTTTGAAAATTGTACCAAAATTTTTTAGAAGCCTGTTTTTTAATGTTCTCTGTCTAAATGTTTCCATTCATGTTTGCTACATTTCCAGATAAAACATGGAGTGTTTAATCTTTAAGTGTGTAGAACACAAGAGTGATCGTTCTTTCCCACATTTTGCTTTTCTTGAAAGGACGCTTATTTTAAAATGCAACAGCTACAGACATGCTCGGTGGTGGGGAGGAGCTATAGAAGAATTCATCCAGAAACATGGCACCAACTTTCTCAAAGATCACCGATTTGGGTCATATGCTGCCGTCCAGGACAACACTTTAGCTAAATGGTAAGATACTTTTGCTCCTGGGCTTTCAAGGTATTCACAGCATCTAATCATATAGTGATCTAAATTCACCTGGAGTCAAGTTTCTAAACTCCCTCAGTTCTGATCCATATCCTATGGCAAGGCCTCTAAACTGTAAACAGAAATTATAAATTGTATTTTACGAAATTCTTTCTTGCTAAGGCCCTTGTAGGACTACCTGATCATAGGTTAGCTTCCCGGTTTTGAAGATTTTTCAGTGTAGTTAACTAGCATTAGATTTATAAGTTTGATTTTTAAAACTAACTTCATACATTTTCTTAGTGATGGAAATGGAAGTCATTAACCATAATTTAGGAAAAAGCATTTACTTAACAGAGATTTCTTTTAAATAAAGTCATGGTTACTCTAATTTCTATTCATGGATTGGATTCCGGTCAGTTTTTAGGTTTCTCAGGAAAACCATGTGGGTGTTCGACAGGATAATTAACCAAACCCATATGATAATGAAGCTCAATTAATCTGTTGCTCTTCAAGCAGAGAAGAGTCAGGTCAATTGGGTGTCATCTACTCATTGCCCTTCCAGTTGCAGGGGCGGGTTTTGAACTCAGGGGCACTCGGCCACCGAGCCACATCCCCAACCCTCTTTTGTATTTTATTTAGAGAAAGGGTCCCATTGAGTTCCTTAGCACCTCTTTTTTGCTGAGGCTAACTTTGAACTCAACGATCATCCTGCCTCAGTGTACCAAGCCACTGGGATTATAGGCATGTGTCACCACACCTGGCTCAGAGTGTTGTATTTTTACTCCTCTTTTTCCGTTTACACAAAATAAGCTGGTAGTGATGTAGAGAATCTAGGCAGTGCATCTTGTTTTACTTTATCATATTGTCTTGTTGTGTAATGCCAAAAATGGGACAAAAACTTGTCTTTCAGGTATGTTAATGCCAAAGGATATTTTGAAGATGTGGCAAATGCAATGGAAGAGGCGAAAGAAGAAATTTTTATCACAGATTGGTGGTTAGTATTTTTCCATGAGAAGGAGGTTTCTATGTTTAGAAATACACAAGACTATAAATGCTATTCAAGAATTGCATATTTTGAAAATTGCATAATACCCACAGATGGTTTGGCCACAGTCTCAACTAATTAACTAATATCCTCCAATGAAAGGTCTTTTAAAAAATTTTTGACCTTCAGATATAAGCTTAAAATATTTAGCTTGAATAATTTTGTTTTTGTCTTTCCATTTGGAAGCAGATGCCCAAATAATCATTCTAGCAAAGATTATATGCAAATAATCAGTGCAGTGCAAATATGGTTGTAGAGGTAATGGGAACCAGTTTTCTTCACTTATCTTAGTGTATCTGTCACCAGGTCCATATTTCTTTTGGATTGTTCCTTTGTGTTGAAATCATTCTATTTACTCCATTAGGGTTGGACTGTCCACTGTAATGACATGGCCTGGCCAGCTCTTCTGGAAGTTTAATCAGTTCTCTACTTTCTGACCCTCTTTTTTTTTAAATTTTTATTGTTGGTTGTTCAAAACATTACATAGTTCTTGACAAATCATATTTCACACTTTGATTCAAGTGGGTTATGAACTCCCATTTTTACCCCATATACAGATTTCAGCATCACATCGGTTACCCATCCACTGTTTTACATATTGCTATACTAGTGTCTGTTGTATTCTGCTGCCTTTCCTATCCTCTACTATCCCCCATCCCCTCCCCTCCCATCTTCTCTCTCTACCCCATCTACTGTAATTCATTTCTCCCCCTTGTTTTTTTTCCCCCTTTCCCCTCACTTCCTCTTGTATGTAATTTTGTATAACCCTGAGGGTCTCCTTCCATTTCCATACAATTTCCCTTCTCTTTCCTTTTCCCTCCCACCTCTCACCCCTGTTTAATGTTAATCTTCTTCACATGCTCTTCCTCCCAACTCTGTTCTTAGTTACTGTCCTTATATCAAAGAAAACATTTGGCATTTGTTTTTTAGGGATTGGCTAGCTTCACTTAACATAATCTGTTCTAATGCCATCCATTTCCCTGCAAATTCTATGATTCTGTCATTTTTTAATGCAGAGTAATACTCCATTGTGTATAACTGCCACATTTTTTTTATCCATTCGTCTATTGAAGGGCATCTAGGTTGGTTCCACAGTCTTGCTATTGTGAATTGTGCTGCTATGAACATCGATGTAGCAGTGTCCCTGTAGCATGCTCTTTTTAGGTCTTTAGGGAATAGACCTAGAAGGGGAATAGCTGGGTCAAATGGTGGTTCCATTCCCAGCTTTCCAAGAAATCTCCATACTGCTTTCCAAATTGGCTGCACTAATTTGCAGTCCCACCAGCAATGTACAAGTGTACCCTTTTCCCCACATCCTCGACAGTACTTGTTGTTGTTTGACTTCATAATGGCTGCCAATCTTACTGGAGTGAGATGGTATCTTAGGGTGGTTTTGATTTTCATGTCTCTGACTGCTAGAGATGGTGAGCATTTTTTCATGTACTTATTGATTGATTGTATGTCCTCCTCTGAGAAGTGACTTTCTGACCCTCTTTAAAAATGTCCATGAGAGGGATAATGCTTATTAAAGCCACTAGAAGTCTCATATCGAAAAATCATTAGAACTTGGGAAATTTTACTCTTGGAGTTGGTATAGGCTTTGTAGTCTTGACTTCAGTTACAATTACCAGTTTCCCTGGACCGTTAAAACCCATCACAGGTTCCCACATTGGCTCCTGTGGAAAGGAAAATCTCTAGAATATGTTTTCCTTTTAAGAACTTAGTTGCCTGAAATGCCCCTCCGTTATCTCTAGTTTATTTCCTTCCAAAGGGTACCTTAGATAAGATGTGTGAACATGTCATCACAATTTATTCTAGATTTTGGGGACAGGAAAGTAATAGGAATGGAGCCATTTACAATATTTTACTACAGTTATGTGAAAATCTGTAATCCTAGGGCCTGCTTTCCCAGACTTGGCACTATTAACATTTTGGCTACATAATTCTTTGTTGTGGGGCCATCCTATGCATAGTAGGATGTTTAGCAGCATCCCTGCATTCTACCTACTAAATGCCAGTAGCAAGCTCCCAGTTGTGACAACCAAGATGTCTTGAGACAGTGCCAAATGTCTCCTGGTTGAGGCAGGAGGGGGTGTGCATGGGGTTGGGGGTGTTCTCTTGGTTGAGAATTGTCTATCTAGAGTCAATGGATAAAGCAGGTGATGGTCATTATGCCCTTGTCTGCAGAGGAGCCTAACCCTAGTCTTTATGTCCTTGGTAAATTTTGTCTTTTCAATGATCAGAAGAGTTTCACACTTACAAGTTTTCTTTGGTTGGCTATTTCCTAAACACTTACAGAATACATTCAAGTTTAATGTAGTGCTATAGTCTTTTAAAAAATATTTTATAGAGTTTGGCAAGGATGAGAGAGTGAAAATAATTTTTCCATTAAACTCATATTTTCATGCTTTATGCAAAAAGCAATATTTTTTCTGAATGTTCTCAACACTAAAATATAGATACTCATTTAAACATCTAAAGAGATGGGACACTGACTGCTTTCTCTTTCAACAAGAGAATGAATCAGGGTGTTACTTCTTTTTCATAACTGTACTAGGGTAACATCTTATTACAACATACCCTTTGAAATAAAACCTGCACAGTAACTTACCTCATAAAATGTGAAGAAAATTCTTGCTATTGTCAGTCATTATTCCAAAGAGTATGCAATAATATTTCACTGGGGTCGTAATTTATATCAGCAACATCTTTTCATGGTGGACATGGTGACTTTTGGATATTTGTTAAACTTTTTTGGAAATCTGTGTTCAAATCTTTTTCTTTTACTTCTTCTTTTTTCTTTGTTTTTCTATAGTACTGAGAATCAAAGCCGGATTGTTTTTCCTCTTTTTAAAGTTAGTTTGCTTGTCTTCTTAGCCAGTAGAAGTAGAATTGTGTGTGTGTGTGTGTGTGTGTTTTAAAAAATTGTTTTGGGCTTTGATGTTTTTATATTATCTCATTATCAGTATTCATATTTTTTTCTTTTCACTTTTTTTATTGGCATATTATAGTTGTACATGATTGGATTTGTTTTTACATGTTTGTACATGTACACAATATAACTATTATTTAGCCAGTGTTGCCCCCAGCACGTCCCCCCTTCCTCCCCTCTTCCTGCCCCATAGTCCCTTTCCTCTACTGATCTCCCTTTGATTTTCATGAGATCCCCACTCCCTCACCTTTCTTTTCCTTTTTCCTCTCTAGCTTTCACATATGAGAGAAAACATATGACCCTTGACCTTCTGAGTTTGGCTTATTTCACTTCACCTAATGATCTCAAGTTATCTACTTTCCTGCAAATGACATAATTTTGTTTCTTTATGACCGAATAAAATTCCATTGGGTCTGTATGCCACATTTTCTTTATCCATTCATCTATTGATAGAAACGTAGGCTGGTTCCATAGTTTGGCTATTGTAAATTGTGCTGCTATAAACATGGACATGCATGTATCACTATAGTATGATGATTTCAATTCTTTAGGTTAAATACCAAGGAGTGGTGTAGCTGGGACATTTGATGGTTCCATGTCTTGTCTTCTGAGGAATCTCCATACTGATGTCCATAGTGGTTGTACTAACTTACAGTCCCATGAACAGTGTAAATGTTCCCTTTTCTCCACATCCTTAGTAGGAAGTCTTTACATTCTAGTTTCATTCTGGACTCCATGGTTTCTGATGCGAATTTTTTGTCACTTGAATTGTTATTTACCTCTAAATAATGTGTAATTTTTCTTGTGAGTGCTTTCAGTATTTTCCCCATTATTTTTAGTTTTCAGTAGTTTGGTTATATTATTTGGATTTATCCTTTTTGGGGGAACTCTGAGCTTCTTGAGTCTGTAGTTGTATGTCTTTAGCCACATTTGAGAAATTCTTACCATTGTTTCTTGAGACTTTTTTTTCCCCCTTTGGTAATTTTCTCTTCTATGTTTCCAGTGACACAAAAAGTGCTTTTTTGGTAATGTCTCACGGTTGTGAATCTCTGTTTCTTTTTTTCCCCAATCTTTTCTCTCTTGTTCAGATTAGATTATTTATTTTTAGCTATCTTCGGGTTTACTGCTTCATTCCTCTGTTATCTTCATTCTGGTACGGAGCCTATCCAATGAGGTTTGCTTTTTTTTTTTTTTTTCATGTTTTTGTGGAAATTGTATTTTTCATTTTGAAAGTTTCTCTTTGGTTCAGTTTATATCTTCAATTTCTTTGAGGAAACTTTCTTCCTTTCTCTTCGTTTTAAGAGTGCTCAACCTTACTTATTGCAGTATTTTTATAATACCTGAGAAGGGATTAAACTAGATAATACCAACCTCCATGTCATTTTCCTGTTGATATCTGTTGGTTATTTTTTCCATGATAGTTGAGAATTTTCTGGTTCTTTGTGTGCCCAATACTTTTTATTATATTTTAGAAAAGTTTAATATTATAAGACAATGAGCTTTTTAAAATCTTATGGGGAGTGTGGTAATTTCTATTTTAGTAAGTGGTTGACTCATTTTGATTTAGACAGAAAATTCTAACCAGACTTCCATGGGTACGGTTTTTTTTTAAAAAAATCTAAATTTTATATATATATATGACAGCAGAATACATTTTGATTCATTGTACACAATTGCAGTACAACTTTTTATTTCTCTGATTGTGCATGATGTAGCATTGCACCATATGTGCAGTCATACATGAACCTAGGATAATGATGTCCATCTCATTCCACCATCTTTTCTGCCCCCACACCCCCTACCCTTCTCTCCTCCCCTTTGCCCAATCAAAGTTTCTCCATTTTTTTCCCCACACCCCCCGCCATTATGGATCAGCATCCACTTATCAGAGAGAACATTTGGCCTTTGGTTTTTGGGGGATTGGCTTGCTTCGCTTAGCATGATATTCTCCACTTCCATCCATTTACCTGCAAATGCCATAATTTTATTTTCTTTTATTGCTGAGTAATATTCCATTGTGTGTGTGTGTGTGTGTATGTATGTGTGTATATATATATCATAGTTTCTTTATCCATTCATCTATTGAAGGGAATCTAGGTTGGTTTCACAGTTTAACTACTATGAATTGAGCTACTATAAACATTGACATAGCTGTGTTATCAGCTATAGTATGCTGATTTTAAGTCCTTAGGGTATAGACGAAGGAATGGGATAGCTGGGTCAAATGGTGGTTCCATTCCAAGTTTTCTAAGGAATTTCCATAGTGCTTTCCAGATTGCTTGCACCACCAGCAATGTCTGGGGGGTTGTGGTTTTATGTCAGTTTTGTTTTTAAAACTTTTATAGCGCTGTTTAGGTGTTTCCATATATGTGCCACCAAGTGGCCAGTCTGAGTGTTGATCTGTTTCTTATTTTGGTTCTCAAATTCCAGTATGCTGTTTTAAAATTAAATCCATGCACATGGACAATTTGTGACTGAGCCAGAGGATTATAAACAACTTTATGGGATTGCTTTCCTGAGCCTCTCCTTCTCCATGGTCTCTCAACTACTTTCTAGTTCACAACCTCCCTTTTTAGTGCTCTAACTGGAAAGGTGAGCTTTTATTTACCCTGTTCTGCCACAAGATTTTTGTGATAGCACACCTGTGCAGAGCCACACCTTGGGAACTTACATGACCCTCTTGGGATCATTGCTCTTCCAACTGGAAAGAAAAGCTCCACACACAGAGTTTTTGTGCCTGTGGGCTCTCTCTTTTCTCTCTTTTCTTTCCTTTACTTTCTTTCTTCTTCCCAGTACCAGGGATTGAACACAGAGGTACTCTAAGCTGTATTCCCAGTCCTTTTTATTTTTGTTTTGAGATAGGACCTTGCAAAGTTGCCTTAGGTAGGTCTTGAACTTGCAATCCTATTGCCTCAGATTCTGAGTAACTAGGATTGTAGGCGTGTACCACCACACCCAGCTGCCTGTGGGCTCTCTGCTACAATTCCTGATGCTGCAGAAAACCCATTTCTTTCTTGTCAAACCTGAACTAGAGGACTTCTATGTTCTCTCAGTGTCAATCCCATTTCCAGATTTTTCTCCAGACCAAGGAGACCAAAGGGAAAAAATAGTAAATGTATCACTGGTTACATGGTACTTCAAATTCTGTTTTTCTTTTTTAATATTGAGTCCTTCAATTCATGAACACTACATAGTTCTCCATTTATTTAGATTTAATATAATTTTTCTCAGCACTATTTTGTACTTTTCTATGTATAGGTCTTATGTATATTTTGTTAAATTTGTCACTAAGTACTTCATATTTTTGGTGTTATTGTAAATGGCATGAAAATTCATTTTCAATTATTCACTGAGCATAAAGAACTAGAAATTCAACTGATTTTGGGGTATTAACTTTCTATCTAAATTCACTTATTACCGCTAGCAAACTTTTTGTAGATTCCTTAGCATTTTTCTCCATACATGATCATGTGACCTACAAATCAAGATGATTAGCCTCCTGCCTTTTAAATTCATATGTCTTGTGTTTTATTCTCCTGCCTTATTGCATTGGCTAAAATCACCAATAGAATGTTGACTAGAAATGGAAAGGTGGATCTCCATACCTTGTTCCCAGTGTTAGGAGAAAACATTCAGTCTTTTATAACTGTGTTTGTTTATATATATATATATATATATATATATATATATATATATATATATATATATAAAAAAAAATTTTAAAAGCTTTTCATTATATATATATATATTTTTTTTTTAAACAATTATTTTGTTTATTTATTTTTATGTGGTGTGAGGATCGAACCCAGTGACTCACACATGTGAGGCAAGTGCTCTATTGCTGAGCCACAATCCCAGTCCCGAGATATATATTTTTTATAATGGCCCTTTACTGAGCAAGTTCATTTCTAGTTATAATTTGTAAAGAGTTTTCATTGGGAATGAAATTAAACTTTGTCAGATTTTTTTTCCTACAAAATTTATTGAAGCTGTCTTGTGTTTTTAGGATAACCCTATTGGTTCTAAGATACTATCATTTTTATAAGCTGCTGAATTTTTGGTAAAAATTTTCATTGTTATGGTCATATTTAATGCTGGCCTCTTTAAATGATTTAGTATTGTCTCCTACTTTATTTTCTGAAAGAGTTTGGGTAGGATTGACATTTCTTCCTTAATTATTTGATAAAATTTACCTATAATTTTCCCTTGTGAGAAAGTTTTAAAGTATGGATTTAATTTTTTAAAGATAAAGGATTAATTTGAATTTCTTTTTGTTACCATTATAGAATTTTTTTCAAGGAATTGTCCATTGTATCTAAATTATCATAAATACTGGCATAAATTTATTTATAATATTCTTATTAAGCATTTAATATTATTTTAATGTCTATAGGGCTTGTAGTGGTTTCTCATCCTCATTTATTTCATATTGCTAATTTATGCTTCTTCCTTTTAAGAAAATTTGCTAAAAGTTTACCAATTTTAGTGATATTTCTTTTTTTTTAATTTTATTTTTTAGTTGTAGCTGGACCCAACACCTTGATTTTATTTACTTATTTTTATTTGGTGCTGAGGATCAAACCCAGGGTCTTGCACATTCTAGGCGAGCACTCTACCACTGAGCCACAACCCCAGCCCCAATTTTAGTGATATTTCAAAGATAGCTTTTCATTTTATCAAATTTACGGTTTCTCACTTTTATGTTTCATCAATCTTCACTTTTACCCTTATTATTTTCTTCCTTCTTTTCACTTTGACTGTAACTTGTTCTGTCTTCTTAAGCTCTAGAGAATCACTGATTTTATTCCTTTTGTTTTCTCGTATAAGCATCGAAAGCCATAAAAGCTTCCAAGTAGTACTTTCCCTTAAAGGCACATTTTTTAAAAATATATTTTTAGTTGTAGATGGACACAAAACCTTTATTTCATTTATTTTTATGTGGTGTTGAGAATCAAACCCAGTGCCTCCCACGTGCTAGGCAAGCGCTCTACCATGGAGCTACAATCCCAGTGCCTGAAAGGCATATTTTAACATCTCTGAAGTCAGGGTGCATTCTACACTCTGTACCATCTTATAGTTGTAATTGTCATCATTTTTTTTCTTGGTGGTACATATAGTAATGATGCATGTTACAGTCATTGGTGTCCAAGGGTCAGTGAAATGCCATATTATGCTATTATTTTGACTTGCATAGTAAAATATGTGTGGTCCTAATATCAAGATGCCTGGTAAATCATAGCTGCTTTCTCCCTGCCATGTGGCCATTATTTGCACTTTGTTTATAGTCTGATTATTTGCCTTATATCTTTTTATGCATTTTCCTCAAAACTGAGAGCCTCTTGGGAGCCATCTTAAGATCCTTCAAACTATCTAGTAGAATACTCTGCATTCTGGGTACACAATGCTTATGGGATAAGTAATGTAAAAAATTTACAGAGTATACTGTTGAAAGTGGTCCCCAACCATAATTAGTGTGTATCTTAAAAACATTGACAGGATGTATATGGTATTGGATATCTCCAGTAAATGAATATCTCCAAAGAGTAAACTAGCAGTGCACTTTTCTACTTAAAACAGGTCTCTCTTAAATTCTTTGATCTTTTCCTATCAGTGGCCGTGTGTCATTTATTTGTTTATTTGGACATAAACTACTTTTGAGCTTATTTCCTACTCTAAGTATTTATGCTATATGCCTGCCTCTCTTTCTTTTTTAGGCTATCCAATGTGTTTCCTTTAGAAGCTTTAACTTTTTTTTCCCATTCAATGAAATAGAGTAGAAAAATGATTTCTTCTCTTTTTGGCTCCCGTCAACCCTGTTGTTTCGGTGTGCTTAGGGAACCCCCTGGCAGGACAGTGTCCAGTCTAGAATTCTAGGAGGCTATACTCTGCACTGTCCACTCACTCCTCCAGGCCTAGCATTCCAGAGAAGAGCTCTTTGACTGCTTGTTTTTCATCTTTGTAACAGAGTGGCATTGAATATAGATTTAGTTCACACTGACTTTAAAGCCCACCCCAGGGGAAAGCATGACTGCTGTATTCTGAGCTGCCTTGTGATAACACCAAGGGAGAGGAGCCCAGAGAGAGGCCCACCCTTGCACTGGGAGAATTTCACAGATCGGCACACCTTCCTCCATCCATGATCAGACAGCCTCTGACTTCCATGGATGCTGCTGCTGGCAGAAGAAGTCAGTGTGCATGTGTATCAGTCTGCTTTTGGCTTGAGGTAACCGAATGCTCAGTTAAAGAAGGCTTCAACACTGAGGGTTTATTCCTCTTATTTAATGAGAAATCTAAAGTTGGGCAATCGAGGGCTGAAGGAGGGTTCCGATCTTCCCATTAGAATTTCAGTATGGTTGCACCACTGTGAGCGCTTGCCTCCATATAAAGCCCATCCTAAAACTGGAGGGGGCGGGCAGGACTTTCTCTGTGTATGCACATGCCTACATGTCTCAAAAAAAAAAAAAGAGGAAAAGCATTCTCATTAACCCCAGGCACCTACTCATGTATATCTCATCATCCAGGATCATGTCACAGCATGCTGTAGCTACACAGGAATCTGAGAAAGGTAGTATTTAGGATGTTCAGATGCTGTAGTGGGATGCAGGCGCTGACAGCAAGGAGGGGGGAGAGTGGAGAATGACTGAAGGGTGAGCATTCGACAGGATCTGCATGTATATAAGTGTATGTGTGTGTGAGAGAGAAATGGACATAGAGTTGTGGGGTTTTTTGTTTGTTTGTTTGTTTTGGGAGGGCTAGGTACGAACTGGAGATTGAACCCAGGGCTTCACATAAGCTAAGCATGGGTCCTACCATTGAGCTACATCCTCAGTGATTGATATATGGTTTCTATTTCCTATGACGTTACTCATGGACCCACCACAGTAGAATATGGTGATAGCATCTGGTCTAAAACTGCCTTTGATTTTTTTGACATGATCAAAACTGTATATTTTGTTTTAGTGACTTGAAGTCTTGGTTTTATGATTTCAGGTTGAGTCCAGAAATCTTCCTGAAACGCCCAGTGGTGGAAGGAAATCGTTGGAGGTTGGACTGCATTCTTAAACGAAAAGCAGTATGTATTTTCTTAACAAATGCTGATATAATTTTTAAAATGTGTGTTGCCTCTGAATTCTCTTGTCTTTTTCAAAGCCCTTCCTGTATATTTACAACGTTTTACCGTAGAGTTCAATCTAAAACAGGTTTCTGTTTTCCAGTTCATTTGGGTCTGTTTTTAAATTACTTTTGAGTGTATAAATATTTTAGCCTAATTCATAGCCCAGATCATACTAGAAGCTCTAATTTATGTTGGTTAGTTATGACCAGTTAATTTAATAGGTCAAAAATTGTAATAAAACTTCATCGGTGAATAATTGATGATGAAATGAAACACAGCCTTTATTTACTTCATTATCTGTCATTAAGCAGAGGACAAAGGAATTTGGAGAACGTTTCAGTCAGATGGGGCCAAGCTGGTATAGAGGAGGATAGTAAAAATCAATGGGATTTTGTTTCCAATTTGGGCTCAGTTCACAGTAATAATATGAAACATTTCCTGCAGATTCTGTGTGAGCAGTGAGGATATCTTTTTGTTATACAAAGTGAATAATTGGAGCAGTGAGAGCTCAATCAATCATGACTGCATTCATGTTGCTAATGGATTATGTTTGTGTAGTGGACCTTCCAAATTAAATTAAAATGATCTGGGTTTGTTACCAATCATGTTCAGATTAGTGAGTGCTCACCTTGTCGCTCCTATTTGGAACTGTCTTAATCTTTTCTTTCATTTTTTTCCCCTGTCATTGAACATTCTAGTGGATTTGGATACTGAGTAACGAAGGGATAGTGTTTCTGTTTCTCATAGGCTCCACTGGTTTCTTCCTATCTTCTAAACGAACCCTTTTCCCCCACTCATTCTCCCCCTATCATCTCTGCATGCCTTTATATCAGACCTTCCACCGATGTCCACAGACAGTCAAACTTCGCAGCTGATACTAAGGGAAATACAAGTTGATCAGCTCTTTTCAGACACATATTCTACCAACAACACCTTTTTGATGGACAAATTTGTTCCTCTCACAAAATTGGAAATTCAGATCCTGATAGTCATTATTCACATGTTCTTTTAAAAAATCAGTCACAGAGGGTCTCCTATGAGCCAGGTACCCCAGGAATCAATAGGCAGGGTGTCTCAGTGAATGGGATTCTGGCCCTGCCCATGGAGGTCTTACTGAAGGAATCAGGTCCTGGGCTCACACCTAGCCGTACCAAATTTCTTTCTACCTACTGAATGGGCTGTGACTTTCCCCATGTTTTTCTCTGTGAAATGGCAGCTTTCCCATTTCCCCTCAAGATTCCATTTAGTCAAACTTCCTAGTCATGCCTTGCTATCTTCACTCGTACCATGAAGTCCTCTCCTCAGAGCGTTTACCCAGTACTTCGCTGTTTTAGGTTTCTGTCAATACATATTTGATGAATGCCTACTATGTGCTGAGACTTGGATAATCATATTGAGATGTATTTAAATAAAAGCCACAATTCCTGAGCTGAGGGAGCTTAAAAAGCAGCACATGTATCAAATTGAGTACAAAGACAGTGCCCAAATTCAAAGGCAGGAGGAAGAGCATTGGGTAGGTCTGGTTGGGGAGCCCCCCACAATATGAATAATGGACAGCATTTAGGATGGGCCAACAGTTTTGAAAAAGAAAGAAGAAATTACTAGGTGCAGTAAATGTTGAGGGAACAGGAATTAGAGAGGCTGTCAGTCACAATGAGGTGACAAGGCTGTGATGCCTTAGTGTTAGCATAGGCAGGATGGACTGCAACCAAAGTGCCTGTTTGCAGCTAGGATGTGGGGCTCTGGGAGCCAAGCCAGTGGTTTGGACTTTATGGTAAACAATAAGGATGTTCTGTGGGGAAGTACAGGGTCAAAGTGTGGGGGGTTGGTCTTATCCAAATGGTGTTCAGGAAAGGTGAGAAAAAATGGGGAGAACTCAAATTCTGAAAGGTTAATTCTGTTTGTTTTGCAATGCTGGGGATCAAATCAAGGGCCTCTAAGTGCTGTACCACTAAGCCACATCCCAACCCTAAAAGCTAAATTTTAAATTCTCTGAGTGTGAGGTGTCTGTAGGAAGCCTATGTAAACTTGAGAAAGCCTGAGGAGGACTCAGGACCATCCTGCAGGCCTGTCTCTTACCCACTGTTAACTGGCAAGTGTTCTCTACTGCCTTCGATGTACCTGCCTGGTTGGTTGCCTTTATGCCACTGGTGTGGCTTCTCTTTGCTTTTATGGCCCATGAACCCTGGTGGCTACCGTGACCACGTAAGCATTATTGTTTGATAATGGTGCTTTGTTTCCTGTTCGTCTACTTTCTGAAGTTTGTAATTTTTAAATTATGGAAAATGATTTTTAAATTTCCTAAGTAAATAGTAATACTATTAAAAATTGATGTCTCAATGGTATATTTAGTGGATGTTCTTCCCCACTTAATCTCAAACATATGGTATTTCTTCTTTGGTCATAAATTTTTAAATACTCATATCATTCCAATTTGACATTTCATATGCATATAAACACTGCTTTTGCATAACTAATTTAGTTTCTGAAAGCCACATACTAGTCTTGCAGTGTATAGGATTGAAACATAATATTTACATTAATGGGTCCCACCGGTCCACAAGGTTGATTAAAATGAATGCTTTTGTTTTTATATCTTGTTTTGGAGGGATTTTTTCTTTTTTTTTTTTTCTCTCTCTCTCTCTCTCTTTTTTTTTTTGGGGGGGAAAGGAATTTAGAAAGCATGTCTGCCCCATAGCAACATATAGACATCTCTTATAATGGCTGTTTCTTATGGGAAAGTATAATATTTTGTTGTTCCGGTTATAGCCAAGTTGATATTTTCCTGTTTCTTTAGCTTCCTGCTATTCAGTGTCACCATTTTCAATGGGGGAAAGCCAATGTCAACAGGCAGAGTGTTCACAGCTTTAAGAAAGCAGCATCCCAGGGGTTCCACAGTTCTTCATTCACGGCACTAAGAGATAATACGTTGTGTCATAGTTATGTGACCACGTGCCTGCACCCTAATAGTGTGTTTCAACCTTAGAAATAAGTGATATTCCTTATGAGAACTACAACGTGGAATCTTCAAGTGCAGTAACCTGGAGAGGCACAGAAGAAGGTTTTTTTTGTTGTTGTTGTTTTTAGGCTGAATTTGTCTGCAGGTTTCTTTCTTTCTCTCTTGGAACACAAGGCACATGATGGAGCTGTAGCCATTGATCAGTAAAAGGGAAGGATGTCTGTGTCTGAGAAATCACACAAATAATCACATCCCTGCACAGAAAACCAGTGGACTCTTACCAAGCTGTAGGCCAGGATGGCTTGTATGGAAGGGGAGAAGGTATCGTTCACCTTCAGGACCATGTTTCTAACAAAATGGGTTAAAACAAAACAAAAAAAGCACATGAGCAGTTGTGCTGTTATATCCCAGTGCTTCTTGCTTTTAAATAGTGAGAATGTGATTGTTGCTTATTCTTTGCTTTTCATTTTCCTAATATATTGCATCCCTGGGGAAGTCCTTGGCAAATGATAAAATCAGTGATTATCCTGTAGTGCAGGGTATGTAAGGTAAGCTATTTTCAGACACTGGGTGAATTGGGCTGCATTTAGAAAATATTTGAACCATACATTTTGAATAATCAGAAAAAAAGTTGATCAAGAAAAAAAGTCTGTTTGATTTCCACCATAAATGTTAAAAAAATTATTTTCACTGTTTTTTCAAGTATTTTGTATATCTCACTACAGCTTCTCAAAATTCCTACTGTTGATCATGTTGTGTCTGCTGTACTTGATGAGACACTCATTAGAAAAGAGGGCAGAGCTTGCATCTTTTGAGACTTATGTTTCGTGGGGTTTATTCTCTGGGACCTTTGGGTTGAATTGGTTAGTTCATTGGCAACAGGAAATGTGGCATTGCAGAAGAAATATCCCTCTCCCTACTTCCCCTATTGGTATTTGGCTTCCTCTTCTCTGAGCAAAAAGTAATTTCCTCTAGGGCCACTCAAAGGCATTAGTAAGAGGCGGGTGTTTCAAAGTGTACATTTTTAAATTACAGAATTAATGTCAGTTCATTTTGTCCATTTGCCTTTTGATTTGCAGAATTATTTCTCACGTTTTATCAGCCCATACTATCACAACAAAGCAAATACCTTTGTTCCCAAGGAACTATTTTCTTCTGTTCTTGATAGAGTTCAATAGTGTTGGAATACCATGACCAAAAGAAGAGAAAATTACTGCTTTATTGTCACAGAAATCTTTTCAGTAGTTAGCTATTTATTGTGGCTATAGGTGGAAGTAAATTATTATAAACCATATTTAAAATGACCTTTTTATATTTAATTACTTCCTTGTTAGTCATTTGTATTTATGATAAAAAGACTTAAAAGTCTCTACCCTATTTCCTTTAGAGTTAATTTATTTAAATGAGAAAAGCAATAATGTAGAAGAAAATGTCAGGTATTAATAAATGGAAGGTAATAATGTAATCCATTAGTGTTAACATCTCTGTTATTTAAAAAATCCATTAGTTATGCAGGTAAATGGAAAACTGCAGGATTCAGGCCAAGTTCCTAATTTGCAACTACTGCCCTGCATGAGTAATAATGTCTTCAGTCTAAGAAGTAGAACTTCATCCATTATAACAAATGAACCATGATGAAAAATGTCAGGTGTAAGAGTCTATAATTTAGGTTGAAATTTGGGGTTTTAAGCTTTATATTCTGTTTTTCATTGGGAAAATCTCTTTCCCTTTTTATTTTGGTAACCATTATTCAGGGCTGAATCCTGAAATACTCAAATAGCAAAATAGACCTGAACAGTAGAGGAGAATAATAAAATAATCTAGTTCTACTTTACAGCTCCCAGAGCAAAGGTGAACTTTCTGGTATTCAGATCTCCTTACTGTATACCAGAATGTAAATCTAATGTGTCCCTTCAAAAATATATACACTTTCAGATATCGCTAACATCAAGAGAGATGGGATATTAGCATTTTGAAGTGATGTTGTGTTATAAGGAATTCAGGACCCAAAACTTTCATCTTAGTATTGACAGAACAACACTAGGGGACTGTTATGTTTTTTTCTAAGATTTTTATGTTCTGTGATCTGCTACCTAAAAATATTAACTTTGATGTTATTTCACATTACAGAGCATTGCAAAAATATTCACTTCTTATGCATTAGATGAATTCAACTCAGTAAAACTTCTTAAATTTTTGATTCAGATTTCCATTGTGAACAATGACTAATTACTGTGAAATGTTAGTTTAAGCTATAACTAAATAATTCCTTGTCATCATAGTTTATTAGATAGAGTGGCATCTCTAACACTCTAGAAAGTATTATGGAAAAATTCTTGCCTTTAATCTCTAACGTGTTAAATGCCTAGGTATAATTTAGATTTGTAGTCTTTTAGGCATGTGGTTATGTTTCAGAAAGCTTTCAGATCTGCTGGGTAAAAAGAATGCAAATTAAAACGGTACAGACTGCAGAAAAATCCTGAAGGTACAAACCAAAAAGTAAAAAAGCAATCCACAAATTGGGTCTGAATGTTTCCTGGCAGAAATGGATCTTGCCCTGTGTGTGGAAGAGGGTCCCAACAAGTGGACAGGGAAGACAGGAGGCTTCAGGTGAGGGGGCAGCTTAACCTGGTCCAAAAGCCAGTCACCACCCAGACCTAGTATAGAAAACATTCATGTTTTCCTGTACCAATTGTTGGACATTGTCTCTTTAATGGTTCATATTAATAATGTTATTTTAATATTAGAGTTTACCCAGCACTTTTTAAAATTTATTTTGGTAATGTTGCATGGATCACAACAGCCTTGTCTCTTTTCTTTTAGATACAAAATCTAAGGATGCACCTGTGTTAATTTGTGCCCATTTTATTCTAAACTCCCATTGCAATTCAGGGACTTTTTTAAATGCTAGAGAAACTTCCTTCTGAAGATGTCCTTTCACAAGTGAAGTAGAGATTGATAATCTCCTTGTGAGTTAAGAGGATGAACCAAGATATTTATCTTTTAAGATATTTATCTTTTAAGATTAAGGAATACTTTCTCCATTTCCCTGCATTAGAGCAGATTATGCTAAGTGAAGTTAGTCAATCCCCAAAAAACAAATGTCTTCTCTGATATAAGGGGGGTGACTCAAAATGGGGTAGGGAGGAAGAGCATGAGAAGAAGATTACCTCTAGATAGGGAAGAGGGGTGGGAGGGAAAGGGAGGGAAAAGGGGAATTGCATGGATGATGGAAGGAGACCCTCATCATTATACAAAATACATGTGTGAAGATGTGAGAAGAAAAAGAATAGCGTTACCTTAGATTAGATAGAGAGAAGTGAGGGGAGGAAAGGAGAAGGTTGGGGTCAATACGAAGGATAGTAGAATGAAATAGACATTATTATTACTGTGTGTGTGTATGTGACTGCATGACCAATGTGTTTCTGCAACCTGTATATCTCAGAAAAATGAGAAATTATATCCCATCTGATTCAAATGTATGATATGTCAAGGTCATTGTACTTTCATGTGTAACTAATTAAAACAAATTTTAAAAATGTCAGAAACACACACAAAAAATAAATAAAAATTTAAAATATTAAAAAAAGGAATATTTTCTCCATTTAAATAAAAATTTTAAATAAAATTCTATGAAAATACCTCCCCACCCAACACTTCAGGGATATTTAGCATATGCATTGTGTCTAAGTTTCTCATCATTATTATTTAAACTAGTTGAGGTATGATATTAGTAAACAGACAAAATCCCTAATCCTGTCACATGGCTCAGGTTAGAACTTCCCTCAGTGATAAGAGTTGGGGAAAATTAAGAATGCAGGACTATAGGACATGTTCAGCAGTTGAGGTTACTATTTCAACACTCTAGATCTGTAATCAGTTGAATGTGGACACTCTTTTGATATAAGTGGTAAGAATGCAAATATAACAATATATATATTTTTATATTTCTGTCAATGTATAGTTATATGTCACCTCTTTGTATTGCCTTTTTCATTAAATATTTTATTGTACCTATTTAGAAGAAAGCAAGTACAACACAGAGAAAAAGAAGAAAAGACAACCCCAGCACCTTCGGAGACACTCATTCTTCATGTGTTTTCTCTTGTGGCAGCAACAGGGTGTGCGGATCTTCATAATGCTCTACAAAGAAGTGGAGCTGGCCCTGGGGATCAACAGTGAGTACACCAAGAGGACTTTAATGCGGCTGCACCCTAACATAAAGGTATCTACCTTCATCCCAGTCACCAGTGTTTCTTACTGTTCTGTGGGAGTTTTTAGGATGTGATTTGCTCTGGGTGGTCATCATCTATACACTTCCCTAACGTTTTGATTAAATAGATTTCAGTCCTCAGAAATAAAACAAAATACTATCCTTTCTTACACTCCCCACATGCACAGGGGTGGGCAGATCTCCCTTCTGTTTCTCTAAACCTAATTGAAAGTGATAGTTGAATCAAGAACATGCTTCCTACAGTTGTTTTAATATTCAAGAGCCCTGTCAAGTTCTCGAGATTTCTCATTAAGTTGTCCTGGAACCACGTAGATGTGACATCCCTGTGGAATCCCTGTATCTTTGATGGCAGCAGAGACCTCTCTTAGGATTTAAAATGCCTTCAAAAAAAAAATCCAATAGTACCTAGTATAAAATATGAATAAAGCAAATAACAGGATAAGCAATGTGAAAAGGTTCTTTGAGATTTCACCAAAGACCTAAACCTATCAAAAAATATCATCCAGTCATTGAGATACATCAAGACATAATGAATTAGTGAATCTCCAGCAGGTTTAAGAGGTATAGCAATTACAATTTTCATTTGGTTCAAAATTCCCACAGAGAATGAGTTGAGATGCATCATTTCTAAACATTCATGGTTCATTTACCAGATTTCTGTCTAGCACTTACTAAAGATGTAAATTTTGTAATATCAGCAACTGAGAATAGTGAAGAGGGAGCTGTTAAATGAGCAGAGTCTTTATATTACTGCAGTCAAATCAGTATAAATTCAAATTAGACCCACATAACTACAGTTACATTAGAAACAAAGATGCCAAAACATACACTGGAGAAAAGATAGCCTCTTCAACAAATGGTACGGGGAAAATTGGAAATCCACATGTAACAAAATGAAATTAAACCTCTCTCTCTCTCACCATGAACAAAACTCAACTCAAAGTGGATCAAGGACCTAGGAATTAAACCAGAGACCTTGCATCTAATGGAAGAAAATGTAGGCCCAAATCGCCATCATAACTTTCTTAATAAGACTCCTGTAGCACAAGAATTAAAACCAAGAATCAATAAATGGGATGGATTCAAACTAAAAAGTTTCTTCTCAGCAAAAGAAACAATCAGTGAGGTGAATAGAGAGCCTTCAGAATGGGAGCAAATCTTTACCACAAGCACATGAGATAGAGCACTAATTTCTAGGATATATAAAGTACTCAAAAACCTTAACACCAAAAAAACAAATAACCCAATCCAAAAATGGACCAAGGAACTGAACAGACACTTCTTAGAAGAGGATATACAGTCAATCAACAAACATATGAAAAAATGTTCAACATCTCTAGCAATTACTGAAATGTAAATCAAAACTACTCTAAGATTTCACTTCACTCCAGTCAGAATGGCAGCTATCAAGAATACAAATAAATAAAAATAAAATAAAAGCTCATCAACAACTAAAAAAAATTTAAAAAAAAGAATACAAACAACAATAAGTGTTGGCAAGGATGTGGGGGAAAAGGCACGCTCATACATTGCTAGTGGGACTGCAAATTGGTGCAGCCAATCTGGAAAGCAGTATGGAGATTCCTTGGAAAACTTGGAATGGAACAATTTGACCCAGCTATCGCACTCCTTAGTTTATACCCAAAGGACTTTAAAACAGCATACTACAAGGACACAGCCATATCAGTGTTTATTACAGCACAATTCACAATAGCTAAATTGTGGGATCAGATGCCCTTCAGTAGATGAATGGATAGGGAAATTTTGGTGTGTATATATACACAATGAAATATTACTCATCATTAAAAGAGAATAAAATCATGGCATTTGCAAGTAAATGGATGGAGTTGGAGAATATAATGCTAAGTGAAATTAGCCAATCCCAGAAAACTAAAGGCCTAATGTTTTCTTTGATATGAGGATGCAGACTCATAACGGTGATGGAGCGGGGAGCATGGGAGGAATGGAGGAACTTTAGATAGGGCAAAGGGGAGGGAAGAGGAGGGAGGGGGCAAGGGGATAGGAATGATGGTGGAATGAGTTAGACATCTTTACCCTAAGTACATGTATGAAGACACAAATGGTGTGAAAATACTTTGTGTACAATCAGTGATTTGAAAAGTTAACTGTGCTGTATATGTGTAATATGAAATGAATTGCAGTCTGCCATCATATATAACAAATTAGAATAAATAATTTTTAAAAAAAGCATATTCATAAAAAATTTTTTTAAAAAATTCAAATTAGAGTGTTACTGCTTCAGGAGATTAATATGGTTCCCATAGTAACCACATGGAAAATAGTTACAGAATGTATACAGCAGGAAATAAGCATTTAAACAACTTACTCTAAAAAATACCAACTAAATGCAAAAAAGACAGTAATGCAGGAAATGCGGGCCAAAAAACAAGGACACATAGAAAACAACAAAATGACAGAAGTAAGTCCTGTATTATTAACAATTAATTTTAAATGTTCATAGATTGAACTGTCTAATGAAAAAAGAGGTATTAGGGCCTGGAATGCAGCTCAGTGGTGGAATACTTGCTTCACATGAGGAAAGCTCTAGGTTCAATTTTTAGCATGGCAAATAAAAATAAGATAATAATAATAATAATAAATTTTAAAATTCTTCAATAAAATAAAACTTTAGTAAAAAAGAATGGATTAAAAACACACAATCCTCTGGGTATGGTGGCGCATGTCTGTAATCCCAATGGCTCGGGAGGCTGAGACAGGAGGATCATGAATTCAAAGCCAGCCTCAGCAATGGCGAGGTGCCAAGCAACTCAGTGAGACCCTGCCTCTAAATAAAATAAAAAATAGGGCTAGAGATGTGGCTCAGCGTCCCCCTGAATTCAATCCCTGGTATACAAAAAAATAAATAAATAAATAACCCCACACAATCTAACTATGTGTTGTCTATAGGATATTCACTCTAGATGCAAAGACTCAGGTTGAAAGTGGAAGGATGGAGAGGATAGTTCACACAGTTAGTAATTAAAGAAAGGAGTGGCTAATTAATATCAGATAACAAAATAGACTTTAAATCAAAGCCGACTGTAAGAGATGAAGGACATAATATTAATAACAGGTTTAATATAGCAGGGAGATAAAAAAAATCATAAGAATTTATGCACCAAATAACAGACCACCAAAATGTATAAAGGAAAACAATTGAAAGGAGAAAAAGGTATTTCTAAAAATAGTAGTTGGATCCTTCAATACCCAACTCTCTGATGGATAGAATAAGAAAATAGAAGACCTAATAGACCAACTAGGTCTAATGGACACGTGCAAACCTCTCTACTCAACAACAGCAGGCATACTCAACCATGCATGGAATATTTTCCAGGAGAGACAATCTGTTAGGCCATGAATTAAATCTTAATAGATTTTAACAGGCAGATATCATTACAAGCATCTTTCTGACCACAAAGGGATGAAATTAGAAATCAGCAACAGAAGGAAAACTAAGTAGACAACATTCTGTTGAACAAGTAATAGATCAAAGAAGAAATTATAAGAATTTATCCTTAGGAGACAAAATAAAACTTATAGGACACAGAAAAACAGTGCAAACGGGAAAATTTGTAGCTACAAAGTCTCTATTAAAAAAGAAATAAGCTGGGGCTGGGGTTGTGGCTCAGAGGTAGAGTGCTCGCCTAGCATGCGTGAGGCACTGGGTTCGATCCTCAGCACAACATAAATATAAAATAAAGATATTGTGTCCACCTATAACTAAAAAATATTTTAAAAAGAAATAAGTTCTCAAAAACCCCACATAACTTTGTAATTTAAGGAACTAGAGGAAAAACAAACTCAAACCAAAGCTAGCAGAAGGAAGGAAATAAAGAGACAAAAATAACACATAAAATCAATGAAAAGTGAAACCAATAATCAGTTCTTAGTTTTGCCAATTTTGATGATATTTTCTAACTAGATAGGCTAAGAAAAAGGGAGATGACTCAGAAATGCACTGTAGACATTACTACCAATCCTCCAGAAATGAAAAGGATTCTAAGAGATTACTATCCCAAACTGTACACCAACAAATTAAATAACCTAGATGAAATGGACAAGATCCTAGCAACATAAAACTCCAAGACTAACCCATGAAGAAAATGTAAAGTTTAAATAGACCTGTAACTAGTAAGGAGGCTGATTAGTAATAGGAAATCTCCCCCAAAGACTAAAGCCTTGGATCCTACAGCTTCACTGATGAATTTTACCAAACATTTAAGAAAGAACTATCAAGAATGCTTCTCAAACTTTTCCAAAAATTGAAGAGGAGTGAACTCTCCAACTCTGATACCATTGAACTATACACTTAAAAATGGTTATGGTGGTGAGTTTTATGTCATATGTAATTTGCCACAATAAAAAAGTATTTGCTTAAGTTTTTGGAATGTATTTACTTAAAAGCTTATGAAAATAGAATAGTTCAGACTGTGTTCATTTAGTGTATCTATTTGAAAGCAGGAGATAACTAACTTCTCAAAGTCCCCTTTAAACCAAATGCTATCAGAATACCTTCAGGACTATGTCAAGATGCCTAGTATTTCAACTCAATGGCTGCCAAAACATCAGTAGAATTTTTTTTTTAATTTCTAGAGAAAGGTGTTGGTTAAGTAGTAGAGTTTTTTAAAATATCAAATATAGCATAATTCTTATAGAGGGAGAAGGAAACTAGCTAGCTATCAAATTGAGCTGACTTTTATCTAACGTGTAGCCACACCTCCAGCTAAATTTCACTGCTCCAAAATATGGCATCTAAGCTGGGGGTCTTCAAAAGTAGGTAGGACTCTTCCTCTGCTAACACTAAGAATAAAATAAGTTTTAGACTTTTTCCTTGGGGGAAACATATATATATGTATATACATACATACATACACACACACACACACACACACATATGAGATATATATATATACATACACACAAAAATAAATAATATTTTGGTATTTGAATTATAAAATTGCTTTTCAGTAAGAAAGCAGATTGATTTTATTATGGCATGAAGGATATTTTAAGAAGCATATCATAGACCAAGCATAGTGGTATGTGCCTATAATCCAGGTGACTCCACTCAGGAGGCTAATGCAGGAGGATCAAAAGTTCAAGACCAGCCTGGGTAACTTAGCAAGACCCTGTCTGAAAATAAAAATAAAAAAGGGCTGGGGATGTAACTCAGTGGTAGAGCACCCTTGGGTTTAATCCCTAGTACCACCAATAGTAATAATAGTAATAATAATATAATAAAGCAGATTATATGTGCCTTTCTTCCCTCTCAAGGTGATGAGGCACCCGGATCACGTGTCCTCCAGTGTCTATCTGTGGGCTCATCATGAGAAGCTTGTCATCATCGACCAATCGGTAGCCTTTGTGGGTGGGATTGACCTGGCCTATGGAAGGTGGGATGATAATGAGCACAGACTCACAGATGTGGGCAGCGTGAAGCGAATCACTTCAGGACAATCTCTTGGTTCTCTCACGGTAAGTGAATCCCTTCCTTGTGGGGCTGCATAAAGTGAACATGATTTGGATAAGTATGTATTAATAGCATGACTGATGGATCGAATGAGAGGTGACATCTTCCTCTGGGGGTTAAGAATACTGAGAAAAACATCAGACGTGTCTTCATACATCAGCCTTATGTTGCTAACAGGTATCTCAGCCCCTCTTGGGCTCCATTTCTTCTCTTGTAAGAAGAGACAACAGATTAAATAGAATGTTTGCCATCTCAGTCTTGGCTCCTTGGTTTTCTATTTAAATTAAAAATATATTCCCTATTTGGGGAAAAAAGTTCATAAATACAAATGCGTGGCAATTAAGATTTAGGTTTGATAATAAGAAATCTTTTCAAAAGTATCTTAGTACTTAGCCAAGAATTTTAGAATTTTCCCACTTAAAGACACACAAAAACATAATAGGTCAATCTGGGTTCATTTAGAGGAAATTCTGTTGGAGCAGAAAGTTTAATAACTTCTCAAAGTACCTGTTAAATCAGGAACCATGTCTGTATGTTTATGTCTATCTGCTTGCTCTTTCAACTCAATGGCTACTGAAGTATCAAAGCACTTATTAAATTTTTTGATGGGCTCCATCTTATTTACTGCTGGTGATATTGCCAGCTTTTCTGGCATAATAGCAAGTAATGGAAAAATGATTGACAGAAAAACTTCAGAGGAAGTTTTAGATATAACATATCTAATTGTACTTGAGATGAAAAGATTAATTGGAATGAAATTTCAAGAATTTAGACTGCTGATGGAGGAACCACAGTGGAACTCCTGTATTCGTTTGGTGGCCTTTTAATTCAAGCAGAGTTGATGAGAATTCCCCTCCACTCTGTGGCTGACCTCAGACTTCATACAAAGGATCTGCTATGGGGCCGCCACCATTTGTAAACTGTACTCCTCAACTCTGCTTAATTAAAGGGCTACTATTGCAGCATATCTTATGTAGTCTTTTTTTTTTTCTTCAAATAATTTCCTCAGGCTGCAACAACAGAGTCTATGGAATCTTTAAGCCTCAAAAATAAAAATGAATCTAATAAAAATTTGCCCATCCTGAAGAATGTTGATGATATGGATTCAAAACTCAAAGGAATAGGAAAGCCAAGAAAGTTCTCCAAATTTAGCCTCTACCGGCAGCTCCACAAGCATCAGCTGCACAACGTGGACAGCGTCAGCAGCATTGACAGCGCCTCCAGTGAGTCACAGTCTTTTCTAGAAATTGTCCCAACTACATGTGTTCCTATAGCCAGTTACTACATACCTGTCTTAAAACCTGCCTTTGGATAACGGAGTAAGATGAACAGGGTTGCTATATCATCTTGTTCAACAACATACCATCTCCTGTGGCTTTATTGGGCTCATTTTAGAACAGGTTTATTGTTTTATCCATATACTGTCATTATAACAACCACTATTCGTGCTTTTGATGGCAGCAGAATGACCAAGGGTTTCTAAAATATGCCAAAGTATCAAGGAAAAAGAAAAATATTAAATGTACTTTATAAAATTCTCCTAGAAGAAATTCATTTCTTTTCCCATCCAGAAATACTTTAGGCTTATATCATCAAACACCATCATATTCTGTATCTTGTAAATGTACTGTTCTTTGCAGGTCTGTCTTAAAATCCTTGCAATTTTTGGTTGCACATAATCTTTTTTTTATCTTTTATTTTTTTAATTTGTTTTAATTAGTTACACATGATAGTACAATGATCTTGACATATCATACATTTGAATCAGATGGGGTATAATTTCTCATTTTTCTGAGTGTACAGTTTTCGAATCACATTGGTCATGTAGTCACATATATACATACAGCAATAATAATGTCTATTTTATTCTCCTGTCCTTCCTATCCCCCCTTCCCTCCCCTCCCCTCCCCTCCCATCACTTCTCTCTACCCAATCTAAGGTGACACACTTCTTTTTTTTCCCCCTCACATCGTCATACATGTATTCTGTACAACGATGAGGGTCTCCTTCCATCTTCTGTGCAATTCCCCTTCTCCCTCCCTTTCCCTCCCACCTCTCTTCCCTATTTAGTGGTAATCTTCTTCTCATGCTCTTCCTCCCTATCCCATTTTGAGTCACCCCCCCCCCCCATATCAGAGAAGACATTCGGCCTTTGTTTTTTAGGGATTGGCTAAATTCACTTAGCATAATCTGCTCTAATGCCATCCATTTCCCTGCAAATGATCTTGTTATTTTTTAGTACTGAGTACAGAATCTTATGACTGATTTTATAGTCCAGCTCGTTTTAAAATGATTAAACTTGCTTTCCAGTTTAGAAAACTTGATATAGATATATTTCTTTGTAAAAAAAAGAACTCTCAACTTTCTCCAGGTTATCTTAATTACTATAGAAGTCATCAGAATTTAATCCATGGTTTAAAACCCCACTTGAAACTCTTTCGCCCTTCGTGTGGGTCTGAGCAGGGGCTCACTGGGCCCAGCGATGGTAAGTGATGTGTGCGTGGCAGAGTCCCTTCAGGCTTCAGCTTCCATTTCATCGTCTGCTGCACAGGCGTAGTGAGTGTGTTTCCACACTGGCTTTCTGTGCACACGGTTTTCACGTCACAAATATGTGGAGCGCTTTCTCCGTGCAAAGCATAGGATCCCTACTCCCCAGGAGCCTGCAATTCAGTAGAGAAGATGAAACACATCTAATAACCAGACAGCACACAGCTCCTGCAGTTCAATAGTGTCATATGGTTCTGTGGAAGGTGGAGGGACTTCTTTTTTCATGATCACAAAAGGCTTTTTGAGCAGGACACTTGCAGATTAGGTCTGGAAGTGATTTGGTGAGGTTGGGTGAAGACAGGAAAACACTGCAGGTGAAAGAAAGGAGCTGAGCAAAGGTGCTAGGTTGGGAGATGGCCCACATCTTAGCTGTTAGTGGAAAACACACCATGGGGCTGTGATGTGGTTTTCTATGTAAGAGTAGGAAGATATACAGGATCGCATGTGGAGGTTCAAACAAAGTTGGGGAGTTGGAACTTTGGTTAAAATTTAAAGAGACCTCATGCTCTACATGTTTAGAAACTGACACCTGATAATCTTTTATGAGAAGAATCAGACTCTTAGGGAGTGAATTAACCAGGATCTGCCTAAATTATGGTGGTGGAAATGAAGAAGGATCTGGCCCCTGCTCTAATAGAGGGATAAGTAATCATCATGATAAATGACAGCAGTAGTAAAGTCATCAGCTAGCTTTTAATCAGATTCTGCCCATCACTGCCCCATTGCTGTCAGTGCTAGGTAGTGATATTGTTTCTCCTTTTTACATGTGAGAAAAACTTCCCCCAACCAAGTCTTCATGTATCACCTTCGTACTGCTCTGGATTCTGATTTGTGATTTAGCAGCAAGGCAGATTACCACATCACGACCTTTTGACCAGAATCCCAAGGCCAAGGTTTGCCTGTGCTGTTTTAGGAGATGAGGGACTTGAAGTAAGCCAACATGCCTGGATGTGAGTCACTTATAGTTAGCAAGAGCTGCTGAATCAGATAAACTGAGCTGGACCTTGAGCAGTGGTTCCCAGCAGTCTTTAGTTTGAGGACCCTGCATTTTAAAAAAAATATATTGACTAACTATGTGGAATAGACTAAAGCTCTGACGTAGCTAGGAATTAAATTTGCATTTTTAAAATCATATAGACATGGATATACACTTAAAAATGGAAAACATGAGATGTTTATTTGGTGTATGATTAGTACCTGATGCACATGTAGATTCAGGGACAACTTCCAGGAGTTCCTGTACTTGACAGAACTTGAAAGTCCTGACAAGTGGGGAGCCTCTGAAAAGTCCAGCAGGCTGAGTCAGGGGCATGTGAAACTTCAGATGTTAAAAGTACAGAGTTGGGAGCAGGTGCAGGGAGTGCCTCGGACTTCCAGTGTGCAACTTTACTACTTTAGAACTGAAGTTAAAAAATGAGATGGAAGGATGAGGTCGCTGAGCTACAAAAAGACTGACTTAAGACTGTAAATATTGCTGACAAGAGAATCAGGAGCAAGTGGGGAAGATGTGAGTATTGCTAAGCGGATTGAGTGACTCAAGCCACCCCCAGGCTGAGGGCATCACACCGACATTGGTGGTCTGAGGACGTGGATATGTTTGGTTTTCTGCCCTTGATGGAAAATGTCCTTGGCATCCATTCACAGTCTCCTCACTAATAAATTGGATGCACGTCTAGAGCAGCATTCTAAATTAAGCAAATTAAACAACACAACTATCAGAAGAGGGGAATGATGAAGAACATAGTGAGGGACTCATCCCCTTGAGGGAGGTGTGCAGCCATTCAAATATTAAATGAGGATGCATAAACTAATGTAGAAAATTTGTTTATTTAACTAAGTACATATTGAGATACTGGTACTAGGGATGTAGGGAAGAGAGCAGATAAAATTGAGTTAACTAGTTGAGAAAGAATGGGGATTGTATATGCAAATAGATCATCAAACACAAGGTATCAGATGGTGGTAGTCATCAAGGAGAACAACAGCAGGGTAGGTGGTAGGGGAAGCAGAGGGAGGAGTTATTATCATATATACGGTAGCAGAGAATGCTGCTCTAATGAGGTGAGTTTGCAGAAGGGAGAGAAGAATGAGGATAAGAGACAGGGAGGGAGGTGTCCCAAACAGGATGAATAACAAGTGCAAAGGCCCTGAGACAGGAGGGGGGATCAGTATGTTCTAGAAGCATTGCTGTGGTGGGGTGGTTTGGAGGAGAATGTTAGGAAAAGTCAGAGAGGTGTGCGATTGGGTGGATTATGAACCATCTCGCAGGCTGCTGTGAGAATTCTGCCCCCAGAGAAAGTTACCAGCTAGTCTTGAGCAAAGGCAGATGAAATCTGACTTAGGTCTTTATGGGCTCATTCTTCAGAGCAGATCAGGTGGCAAATAGTTCCAGAGAAGATACTGAATATATCTTGAGAGTAGAGCTGACAGCATTTGCCAATGCCCTGGATATGGGTATGAGGGCTGGAAAAGACTCCAAGTCCTCGGAGCCACCAGAAAGGTGGAGTTTCTGTGAACTGAGAGCATGATTTCCATTTCCTGAGAGCATGGAATGATGTAGAGCTTGAGGATGACTCCCACTGTGTCAAAATATGCACCTGAAAGAGGTTGACTAAGGACATTAAAGGCCACTAACTTTATTAAGAAGATGGAACTTAAGGTTCCATTTATCTCTTTTTTACATTGCTGGCCTTATTTTCATATTGCTTTCAGAGTCAAACATATATACAAATTTAACTTTTAATAATGAGAAAAATCAACTGAGTTAAAAAGAAAAGGTTAGTTGAGTCTTCCCAGAACAGTGCTTCCAAAACTGTATTCCCTGGACCCTGTATCTTCTCAAAGGCTCTACAGAGGACACTGAGTAGGTGGACCCTAAACTCCCCCGACCCCTCTGTTGGTCCATGCTTTAGTCAAAATTGTCCCACCTGTATCTCTTTATGTGTGGGAGTTCTTCACAAATTTGACTGGAAAATAAAAGTGAGGGTTCACAAAAAATAATGAAGGAAACATTTAAACACAATTTAGATTTAAATCATGCAATGACATAAACTCATGTTTTCTTATAGGACTTGAAACCCAAATTAAGCATGAAGTGACTCTTATTAGAAATTTAATACTGCAGATGAGCTTGAATTAGGGATTTCCATTTCCTGAGAGTGCTGAACATGGTTAACCTCTCTGTAGTGTCAGTTTCACTTGACTACAAAAAACTTTGTTGAGGCAGGCTCCTAATAAGCCTCCCTGGTGTTATATAGAATGTGGCTGTAAGGTCACCATGCTCACTATGAGGTTTTAAACAGAAAAAATTGCAATAAAATCATTCTAAATGTGGTTAATAACCACGATGTATTTCTATAGTGTATATTTTTATTTTTATTCAAAATCACTCAGCCATCTTCAAGAACTTTTTTCTTTCAGAATTATGTTGTCAGAGGGAGAATTTCAGATTGACATTGCTTTCCTTGATACTATGTATTTTTAAAGGGGTTGATTTTATACTTGTTACATTCAGAAACTGCTTGATGAGTTTTCCTTGTAAGCAATATTAAATAGATAGGTGAGAGGGGAAATCGTTTTTTGCAATTTAGTTGAAACAGGTTTTTCAAATCAAATATCTAAGCAGTGGTACGATGAATGGTAAGTTAACTCATTTCAAAACTATGTTCTCTGGGGGTGCAGCCTCCAGGATGTATAGAGTCATTTTTGTGCTGTCAAAGAGCTTATTATCTAATATTGAGCATGGTTTTAAATATTTGACCTCCTGGTACTTAGTAATTCATCTAACAGGAGTCGTTCACAAAGCCTCTCCACCCATATAATACAGGTCCAAGAATCCTTATCCATAATTCCAAAACCCAAAGTGCTTTCAAACACCAGAGCTTTTGTTTAATATACACACTGAGGGACCTATATTGGAACTGGTTGAGGATCTAGGAAGAAATTCAGTAGATAAGAGACCAAGAAGGAAGAAGAAAACAGGCATTTCAGGCAAATTGTATATCTTAAGACCCAGACATGGGAAATACCAGAGGTATTTGTTTCAACACCCCAGACCTCAGTTGTGAAGCATGGTGAATACAGTCTCTTATATAAAATTCTTGGCATCAGCTATGCTTCAGAAATCAGGATGTTCTGAGTTTTAGAAAAGTAATATGATAAGTATACCCTATATCAGGTTACCCTCACAGCAGGGTCCTGGGAATACCTGGAATGTCAGCAAACCATTTATACTTGTACAACACCAAGTGGGATCAATAAAGATAATAAATAATTTCTTGTCAGTTCAGGTTGAGTTTTGCTAACAAATAAGCTATGGGAAAAACATATCGATTTTCAGAGCTTGGAGGATTTGGGATTTGTTCTAAGGATTAATTTGTATAGATTGGGCTGGTGGGGTCTGTCTTCACCAGTTTATGAAGGGCCTTGAAAGTCGGCCTGAGACAGTGTCCCTCATCCACTAAATTCTGGAGAAGCCCCATGGGAGAGAGTTTAAGGGCAAAGTTTTATGAAGGTTACACAAGAGACAAAGGGAGTCCAAATAGGTTGTGCTAGGGGCCCCAAGATGGAAGGGAATGGGAGAAACTTTTTGCAAAAGAAGAATCGGCAAAATCTGATCTGATTTGGGAAGTGGTGGTGGGAAGGGGGGATGGAAAAGACAGTAAAGAGAGGAGCAGAGGCGACTGTGAGGTTAGAGCCTGAGTCGCTCTGAACAGAAAGCAGAAACTCCAGAGACGACTCGATGCTGTGGGGAGGCTCATGATTTTAGTGTTAGACGTGATTGTCAAGTTCTTGTGTTCCGTGACTATATGTCTGGTACTCAAAAAAGAAGCCAGGCCTAGAGGTATACATTTAGGAATCCTATGGAAGAAAACAGGAGACACACGGGGAACCATCTTAATGACAGCATCTAGGAAAGAAGATGGGGAGGGGTAGGCTGGATAAGTGTAGGCTGGACCCTTGGAAGACGAGATAAGGAAACAAAGGAGGAGGCTATGGTAAGACCTGAAGACACTGGACAGAAGCAGGGGGACACCTTTGTCCTAGCTTTAGCACCTAGAATCTGGGTTGCCAATGGAGGAAGTTGTGGGAAATTGAGATGGTGAACCCAAAGGTAGTGCAGATGCCATCATGAATTCATTTGGGAGCCAGATCCAGCCTAATGAGAGCCCCTCAGATCCGGGTTGCAAATGCCAGAAGTTCTCTGGTCACAGAGGCCCATGCAACTCTGAGCGGTCAGCATAGTAACTAGTGAGTATTTGGTTCTGTTGCCTTAATAATTCATTTATTCTGAGGAGGACCCCCATTTATTCGGGATAAATAAAGTTTAGGCCTTCGCTATAAGCAAAACCAAATTTGAATAATAAGCAAAAATAATTTTCTGAGACCAGGAATTTGCAGTTGTTAGGTGAAATATATTCTTAAACAATTATATGGATATCTAACTAAAAACCTTATCTTAGTTTCCTAATTGATGAAAACAAATTACACATACACACGTGCGTGCGCGCACATACACATACACACACGTATGAATAAATGTGGAATTTGACCCATTATTTAATCTAATTTTTTGTACATGCCCTTTTTTTCTATTTCCTCTTTTTTTTTTTCTTTTAACAATGACCATGCTTACTATAAAGAGCCTACAGGTGAGCAAATAGACTTACCAGTGTCCTACCCTCTCTACCTTATACAGCAGGAAAATCAATCACTAGGAGAAGTCAATAGAGGTATGTTTTTAATAGTGGTTATTTTTGTTCACTTTGGCCATTGAAGACACTTTTCTTTCATAAAAAGATTCAATAACCTTTGGAAGGTTAATTACTCAGTTTGAGATAGAATATTAGTTGTATGTAGTGATTGCATAAAAATATTTAGTTTTTGCAGATATTTACGGATGCCCTCCTAGATGTCACGATTTGCACCCGGCAGTGAGAGGACATTTCCCCACTCCCCATTTGCCCATGAGGAGTTTATAGACTGGCATCAGGGGCAGAGGCAAGAGGGGCAGCCTTATATAATCATATGAGGGAGTAAGAGGTTTTCTGGGTGCAATTTCCAATGGAATGGCAATGCCAGTGACTACATCTCCCTTTGGGATTTGGGAGGTCTTCTCAGGCAGAGACAGCTAATGTGGTTAGGAGATGACTCGGAGATCAGGCCAAGGAAAGGGAAGAGAATTCCAGACAGAAGGAGTAAGGTACCAAGTGAGGAGTCAGGACAGATAAGGCCTGTCACAAAAATACAGCAAAAAATGTGTTATAGTGGTCCTGGGGTTGGGCGGGAGGAAAACAAGGATGAGAAAGTCAGATTGGCCCCAGTTTGGGAAGAGCTTTCTATGCACACCAAGTCCTTAGGACTTGAACCTCCTGTAGATAGTAGGTGACAGTAGTTTTAAAGCAATGAGTCTGCACCTAACTAAGACAGTTGGGACAGTGTGAAGGCGGAGGTGGTGCTAAGGTGACCGGTCTAGACCTCTCACTGGCTACTTGAAGGAGTAATCATTTATTAGTTCCACAAATATTTTCCCATGCCACATCTGTCCAGTGCCTCTTTTGTGCCAAGCGCTGCATTTGTAATTTGGAGTCTGCTCTCTTCATGCTTCATTTTCCCTTCACTTACAAGCTATTTAACTCAAAGCATTTAACTTAAGTGAAGTGGCCTCATAGAGCTCTTTGTGACATGCTACAGTAGATTGCTGCTTGTGTGCCTCTGTGACAAGCATCTGTCTGTTTGTGGTTATGTTTTTTACAGATGCCTTTTGTGATTGTAAGACTATAGAAAGTTAGAGACCAAAAAGTCTTAATTGTCATATGGGCCAAATTCTTCTTTTTTTTACACATAGGGATTTCTGACCCAAAGAGGTGAAGCTCGATATCAATTAGTTAGTTAATTCCAGGGCTGGAACGTGGGCTGTCTGTATATAAGAGGTTCTTGATTTTTAAATGCAAAAGGCAAGAATTACACATTAGGTTTGCATCATGCAAGTGAGGAAGGAGAAGTGGCCTGGCTTATTTGTTTCCTTCATGTCTCATCATTCTCCATCCTCACCTGGTTTTATTGCTCTCTGGTAGTCCCTCCTTGCTAATTCTTTATTCACTGTTGGCTCTGTGATTGGTTCTTGCAGTGACCTGGTAGGCAGTGAGAATAAGCTGCTCAATGCCGGAGAAAGTTACATTTCATTGTCTGATGATGAGCCTGACTATGGTCCCAACAGCTCACTAACTATAAACTTGCAAGTGTTGTAAAACCTCTTCAGCCCACAGCTTCTAATCAAATGGACACATGTTGCCCTAGTTATGAGTCTCAAGAAAAAAAGTTAAGGCATGCAGGTGTTTAATAAGTGAGAGGTGAGCCCCCGCTCTCTGGGGGCCAAGCTGACCCACAGCCTCTGGGTGGGGTTCCCTGCATTCACAGACACTGGCTCCATCCGCAGTTTGCAGACAGGCGTGGGAGAGCTCCACGGGGAAACCAGATTCTGGCACGGGAAGGACTACTGCAATTTTGTCTTCAAAGACTGGGTTCAACTTGATAAGCCTTTTGCTGGTGAGTATCATGGTACGAGGTGTGGATTATATTTTGTTATATTTGAGCATCTCAGCAAGTATGCATGGGCATGGTCTAAGTGACTTTTGTTTTGCTTTGTTTATTTTTGAAAATTTGGCAAAACTGAAGACATGCTTTAGTCATCTACTTAAGGACTGTTTTTTGTAGTTTCAAAAAGAAAATAACATGAAATGGAGCTGACCTATCTGAAACCTCCAGGTTTCCTATGGGCATATTTTGGGGATAATAATCTATAATTCTTCTAAGAGATGGTAGCCTTCATTTGATCATCTTTTTTTATGCATAGTCCGAAAATATGCCATTCTAATGATGGAAAATGGAGAGACTATCACTGAAATATTAACATATTTCCTTTTACAAATTATAGTTGGGGTCAGAGGGTTTCTGTCTCCCCACATGGAAGTTCATGACGGATCCTTGCCCGGTACACCCGGGTAGATTTCATTGACAGGTACTCCACTCCCCGGATGCCCTGGCATGATATCGCCTCTGCAGTCCACGGGAAGGCTGCTCGTGATGTGGCACGTCACTTCATCCAGCGCTGGAACTTCACGAAGGTACTGCATATTGTTGTCATGACTCAATCTGCATGAAGAGAGCCAATACTAGCTGGAGGAAAAACCCAAAGGGTTGGCCAGAAGGGGTTGCTGCAGCCACAGCTATAATTACAATCTGCAGTTGGATGCATCAATGACAGAGTAGCTGAACCTCTTGCATTAAAAAAGAAAAAAAAATGCTCATGAACTTTAACACAGACAATTCAGAAAGCAGAGGGATAGATGCTGCTAGAGGAGCCTATGACTTTAACCCTTTTAACATCTTGGACTCTCAGTATTGATTAAGCATTTACTGGCCTGGGCCTGGTAGTCATGTGGAGGGCTGTTGTAGGTGGGAGAAGAGTCTCTTTTAGACAAGAGGGCTCAAACTGGAAAGCCCTTCCAGTCCTGGCATTGCACTGGGTTCCTACTGATACAGGATTCTGAGAGCCAGCTCTGAGCAAGGCAAGCAGAGTGACATGGACCATTTTCCTCTCTTGGTGGGCCTTTGTTGCTGGTAAGGACTGGCCCTAAATTCTTAAGTTCAGAACATATTATACAGGGTTGTTATTTACTCAAAATGATAAGGCATTATTCTCCCCCAAGAGTTTGGAAAATGGATTTAGTTCTACTAACAATTTAGAAAGTCACTTTTTTCATATATATATATATAAACTTCATTAGAACTTTTGTGGAAGTTCTAATGGAAATATTTTAAGTAAAATTTAGAGGGAGGGCTGGGGTTGTAACTCAGTGGGGGAGCGCCTGCTTAGCACATGTGAGGCATTGGGTTCTGTCCTCAGCACCACATATAAGTAAATGAATAAATGCACTGTGTCCATCTACAACTAAAAAAAGATTATTTAAATTATTCTTTTAAAAATAAATTAAATTAAATTAGAAATTTAGAGGGAAGGGATGAATAAATGAAGTGATATTACTTTTAAGCTACTGAATTGTTGAAGATTAAAAACACGGCTAATAGCTAATACTTATAGTGTGAGGGTTTTGTTTGTTTGTTTGTCCCTACATTGGTAATACACTAATAAGTCTTTTTTTTTAAGTATGCATTTTTAAACCTAAAAAGTGATTTTCAGGTACGTAAGCTAAAGAAGTAATCTAGGCAGGTAATTTATTTTGAGACTGATTCTAGTACCAAATAAAATTAGAGATAGATAAAATGCTCATTATAGGAATTTATTATACAAATTATGATTCTTCTTACTATTTTATGAAGCATATTGAAGATGACAGTGCTATATTGTTCCAGCAAGATATTTACAACAGTAAAAATTATTTATAAAGTAATAATAATGCGATTTTTAAATTGTATAATACTCTATAAGTATAGATTACATTTAATCTTTCTTTACAAATGTAATACAATGCATGATTGCTACAAAAGGTAAAAGAAGGAAATATAGAAAATAGAAAACAAAAATAAAGAATTTCCAGTCTTAGAAATGTCCACTAATATTTCTTCTCTTGAACTTTGTGTGTTTGTGCTGTGCTGGGGATTGAACCTAGGGCCTCTTGTATAGTAGGCAAGCACTCTACCACTGAGCTACATCCTCAGCCATTTTTGCTTTTTTCAAATGAACCTGTATTTATTTCATAAATATAAACTAGGGAAAAATGAACTTCTTTTGTCATATAACTCTTTTTTTTTTAAATCTGCTTTTCTTTATTTTAGATTATGAAACCAAAGTATCGGTCTCTTTCTTATCCCTTCCTGCTTCCAAAGTCTCAAACCACAGCCCATGAGCTGAGATATCAGGTGCCTGGGGCCGTCCATGCTGGTGTGCAGGTAAGCCTGGTTTTACTTTTTTGGCAAAATACACTGATTAACGTTAGTATTACTGGACTAAGTGACTATTCCAGTGGCTTCTGAGTTTTCAATAAGGATAATTTGTCCAAAACAAATCTGAATGGTCCTTTTAATATTCGGAATTATATTTCCTGTATTTAATGGATTCGATTCACCCTCATTATAAAACTCATTTATACATATAATAAATATGTGTCTTCAGAAAAGGCCACAATCAAGGAATGACTGTCCTCGTAATTCCTTCTGAAATGATCCCAGTAACATGATACACAGTAAACCTGGGGCTGATATTGCCTGAGCACCAGGAGCTTGGCTGAAACTTAACATCCAGGAAGCTGGTTATTATAGTCCAATCTAATTTTAGTACTCAATTAACCAAATACCATTTGGAGGCTCTTTTAATTGAATAAGAAATTTCCTTAATAAAGTCACAAAATTTTATTAAACCCCGTCCAACCATCTCAAGTTACAAATAAGAAAATTAAAACCCAATGGGGCTCTGAGGCGTGTCCAGAGCCAACTGGCTAATGACTGATAGGGTGGAGCTTGAAATCTTAGTCTGGTTCAGAGTTACCCAATCTACTGCCTTTACCAACTACAGCTCAGATACCTTGAAATCATGTGGTCACAGAGTGAGGATGGGCACCCCCAGCATTGCCTTTGGTTCCCAGTTACCACCATCAGCATTGGAAGCATTATTTAGTAAAAATTCAGCAATCTGTTAGCCGCCATCATTAATGGACTTAAATAATTCAGACACGGATTCTCATGAATGTGATTTTATAAAGGAAGTATCTAAATCTGTTACGTTGAATTATGTGCAAGTAGAGTTGCGTGCATATAAAAAATAAAGACATTTTACACCATAGATAAAATAACAGAACAATTTTTTAAAAAGTTAAACCACTTGTGAGAAGTATATAGGACATATTGAGTCATCCCAGTCTAGGAAGACTAATTTCAACTTGAAGGTGCAGATAGATAGCTGTGCGCATATACAGAAATTGGTGAATGTTTTATGAACCTATTTAATTTTATTTTACATGGAAGAGAGAAAATTATTCATCCTAGAAGACAGAATAAGAATGTTGGTATTAGGAAAGTAAGAGAATTTAAGATTTGAACTTGCATTAAAATTGATGTGATCAATTTATCAAAGTTAGCTGATGTTAAGTATCTGTTGAAAATGTATTACTGAGGAATGTGTGTTTTGTGATGGATTAAGAATATTTTAGCCTACTGTTGCAAATACATGCATTTTCCACTCCCACACTGGTAAAGCCCTGACTTGTATATTCTTATCCTGCTGCCCTGATAAGGCAGGTACACACTCTACAAATATTTCTCTTCACTCACCTTCTCCGCACCACTGGGTATTGTGTTAGAGATGGAAATAGATCAGATGACCTCTTCTGATGAGCTGATACATTCTGGATTCACTGTGCAAAGTCGATTCATTTTAAAAGGGCATTTACCACCATATGAGTGGGATCCTAATTAGAATAAGTTATACACTATGTATGTATAAAATGTCAAAATACACTCGACTATCATGTATATCTAAAATGAACAAATACAAAAATTTTAATAAGGGCATTTACCAAGATGCATGCACTCACTCATTCATTGATTCAGCCAACTTAGGTTTATTAAGTGCCATCTGTTTGTAAAATGAAGCCATTGAAGCATACTTATGTATGCAAGGGACAGGCAGAACATGATTTCTCTGCCTCAGGAAACTTAGTTATCTGAGGAGATAAAGCTGTGCTGTTGAATAATTCAGTTAACAGTAAAGAGTATGGTAAAAAGCATGAAGGTACAGACCTACTGGTGAGTGTCCTCTCTAAGAAATAAACCTGCCCACTCAGAAGACAGGGAGACTGACTGCAACAACCATTTTCTCTTGGTGATGAAGTTGGACAGCAGAAGGCCAGATGAGGTACCTGGAGTGCTGGCCTGGTGAGTTTAGATCTTGTCCTGGAAGTATTAGTGAACTTTGGAATAGTCTTTTCATCCAAGAAGAAACATGATACATGAATGTTTTAAAAGGTTAACTTGATTATCCTAAGTATAATCAAACAAAAACCCAAGGATAACAAGGTTAATCTTCATAAAGCATATATCCCTAAAACTTGATTTAGGAACAGGGTTGTTTTACTTTTTTGGCAGCCAGGGTCAGGAAGTGCTGGGATTTAACCCAGGGACACACTGAGTTATATCCCAAGTCCTTTTTTTCTTTTTAATTTTTTCTTTTTAATTTCAAGACAGGGTCCCAGTAAGTTGTTTGGGGTCTCGCTAAATTGCTGAGGCTGGCTACAACTTGTGATCCTTCTGTCTCAGCCTCCCAAGCTGCTGGGATTTCAAGCATGTACCATCATGCCCAGCTAGGGACAGTTTTTGAAGTTGGGTTTTATCTGTGAAATGCTAATAATTATTCCATAAAAATAGTTTCCAAGCTTTTGCAGATTTCTTTAATATGTAATAGGAGGGCCGAGTGCCTTTGTCACGCTGATGTTTTACAAAACCACTAAGTGAGAATGAGGTGCATTTCCCCATCTTATTTGACGGGATCTCTCATTTTATTTCTTCTCATCTGTTTCTCTCTGAACAAACACTTTGGGACTTGAAGTTTATACATAGGAAGAACTTATTAAACCAAAGAGAATGAAAGCAAGGGACAAGAGAAAAGCCTGGGGAAGTAATTCTGCTGAACCCAGAAGGCCTAAACTAGAAAGGAAGGGACAAATCTGGAATATTTTTGAGGAGACAAGGGGACACAGTGACTAGACAATGACTGAAAATTAAGAACAAGGAAAAGGTAAAACTAATTAGTTCAGTGTCACTGACACAATCTCCCGAGAAAAAAATAGGACACATGTCATGTCTAGACTGATGGGCCAGGTCGCTGAAGACCCTGGCGGCTCCGGTGGTAGGTGTGTTCTGGGTGATGTGAATCTTGCAGCACGATAATGGGTATAATAAAGAACCTAGAAGTGCTGCTAGGCTGAGCTTCTGGAAGCAGGAAAATTGTCCAGCTAAACATAATAAAATACATTCTAAAACCAAAGTACGTAGCCTCAGCAAGTCATTTCCCCTCCCTGAACCTCATTTTTCTCATCTGAAAGCTTCCTGATTGGAATGAGTGATATCTACAGTCCCTTCAGGTACTTAAAGGGGAGCTTTTCTCCAGAACCTTTGATAAATGAGGTGTCATTATAATTGTATCAGTTACCTTTCATTTAGGTGTCCTGATATATTTAGGAACCGTTGTATAATAAAACTCAAATGTCCACCACAGATACACATCCTAATTTTTAAAATCATTATAATTACATTTATCACTAAATAGAAATAGAGCCAGACTCAGAATATGTACCTTGATAATGAAAATTGTTTCTCTGACTCTTTAAGAGGGGAAAAAAAATTCTTGAAGGAAATTAAAACATCATAGATTCACTTAGACATGTGGCACCGCAAAAAGAAGACAAGAAAGGACATGTGAGGAAATAGGATGTCACCAGTGAACTCTTAAATTCACAAGACTATGAGATTATCATTTCTTTTATTCCTCTGGTCCTCAAAACCTGATATTCCAGTATATACCTCTCACCATCTCAGTCCCTAAAGGAAAAATCTCCCTCCAGGAGACCTGACTCTGAAGGCCACAGATAGAGAACCAGCTGCTCTCTTTCAGAAGCCCATGTTCACTGCCAGCTTTGGGCCCTGGTGACAGGCTGAACTCCCCTCAGCTGCCCAGGACCCTCTTAGTGCCTATACCTAATTTTGTATTTGTAAATTCGTATTATTTTTCTTAAAGAGTCCCACCCCGACCATGGTATGGTGGTCAGGTATGGTGGCACATGCCTGTAATCCCAACAATTCAGGAGGCTGAGGCAGGACGATTGCAAGTTCAAAGCCAGACTCAACAACTTAGTAAAGCCCTAAGCAACTTAGGGAGACCCTGTCTCAAAAAGGGCATGGGATATGGCTCAGTGGTAAAGCATCTCTAATACCATAAAAGGAAAAAAGAGCCCTTTCCCTAATCTGGACATGTCAGACCTGACCAAATCTGGAGCCCTCCTCTTTTTCAGTACATGTTGTTCAGAAATGATGAAATAACTCTAGTTGTGAAAACAGTGGATGCAGCCAGGATGTACATCTTTTTGAAGCTGGGAAAGTCAGAGATGATCAGAAATTAGAGAGAGACTTACTCTGCTGCCTTTCTCCACAGTGTTGCTTTGCTTTCTTCATGTCATTCACTGGCTTTAACTATTTATCTTATTTCCAGACATTATTTTTTTCAAATCATAAATGTAGTGCTTAGAGGGCAAGAACAGTAAACTAGGCCCATCTCTGGTTTTCCAAAAATTCCAGAAGGTGCCAAGGGATTTGTGCACGCTACTCAATTTTTAAAGGGTTTATTATCACATTTTCAAAGCTTTCACCCACCTGGCTATTCTATGACACTAGCCATATGACTATTACCCACCCAGATGAGAAATTGAATAAAATTCATCCTAAAGTGTATTGTTTGTTCAACAGTTTATTTCAAAACATCATTTAGAGGCCATAAGCTTATTACATTATAAAGAAAACAGTATGATGTAGTAATTAAGAGGTAGATTCTAAAGTCAGACTGTTAAAATCCCAACTCTGCCACTTACTAGCTGTATAAGTAGCTTCTTCACCTCTCTGTACTTGTTTCTATCGTCAATAAATCAGGTCTGATAATAAGTCTACTTTATAGGATTGAGTGATGGGTATCAATGGGTAAATAACACATACAAAGCACTCAGAAGCACTAGTTTGTGTGCTGTAGGTACTTTCAAGCTTTCCCCAGTGTTTCAAAAGTTTGCAACAAAGACATTGATGTTTCTCTAGATGGGTCACTAGGTTAGTTCTGGATAAAAATCTTAATATCATATTTATTGAAATAGAAAGAAAGGGCATTTGAAATGATAAAGTAAATAACAGGTAGA